TTTTGTGTACTTTCGGGTTAATAATGTGGCCTTTTTGGCAGTTTAACTAAAGGTGTGCGGCTGCTTGCTGTGAGAAAATATCTGCCTGAAATTACAATGGGCTTTAATGGAGACATATTGAACGTTTTGTCACTTCATGCCCTCAAGAGGCATTTTGTTTAATTATTTTTTGCTTAATTATTTTGTCATTTTTCAAGCTACGAGATGTTTTCCTACGTTTCTCATGAAAAAATTATGTCTCAGGAATGTAGGGTTTTGGGAATTATGGCAGTTTTTTTAAAAAAAATATGAAGGGAAATTTCAAGATTTCCTACCTAGCTGTGACATCACGCACTCTAACTTAACGAGCTGCGCAATGTTAAAGTTCAAATGTTAAAAATGTGATGAATTATGGGATGTATCTCTGGAATTATGAAAGTTATGAATGATAAAAGTAATAGCAGTCGATTCCCGACCGAGCTGAAGGTTTTTGATGTTTGAACGGAGTTTCTGCGATGTTGAATGTGGGAGGAGAAGACGGACAAAATAATTGGACGGAATAATAAACGTTTTGTCCGTAGCATAACATATAGTTGGAATGCTGTATCAGCATTCCCACTAAATTAAAAACCGTTTATTGCGGTGATAACTATTTATATAAATAAGTAGATTGCAAGATGAGAACTTCTTGCACTATTTTTTTTTGTTGTATGTTATTATATATGTTGCATTGTTGGTGATTCAAGATGGCGCCTGTGTCGGCTCGCCGCTCGCTAAGCTCTCTAACTTTAGCTGTCCTGTTTTTGTTTTATGTTTGTCAGAATGTCTCTGCTCTGCTCGTTTATGATCGCCAAGCTCTCCTCCACCTCAGACCCTCACTGGAGTTGATATTGCTGCCCAAACCGACATCTGGCAACCATAAATCGTCCCCCCCACCTCTACTGTCGGATATCCCCACTTACCTACGCCGGTCACACTGCATCCTGCCTCGCCGAAAGCGCTTTCGACGACGGGGAAAGCGTGGTGGTGCACTGGTCCATCTGAAGGCATACCTGACGGCTTCTTCTGTGAATTATCCACGCCTCGGATGTCACGGCCCTCCCGCTGCACGCCAAGTGAGAGATCGGTGGATTCGCCCCATTTTTCCGGAGCTCCGGACTCTGAGGGGCCCGCTGGCAGCTCCTCCTGCCCGACTGACTGCTCCCGGCCCGCGCGGCGTTCAACACGCACATCTTCGTCAGCTGAGACGCACTACACCTTCGGCAAGCCCGGAGCGAAAACTTTGCATGGCTTTGCTAAATGCTAGGTCGATAGCAAACAAATCGTTCCTGCTAAACGACTTCTTCACCTCTCGTGAACTGGATTTTATGTTCCTGACGGAGACCTGGGCTCACGCTGGCGAGTATACACCGTTCTCTGAACTTCTTCCTCCTGACTGTACATTCTTCAGCTCCCCCCGTGCCACTGGCCATGGTGGGGGCATAGCATCAGTGTTTAGAGCTAGCCTCCAATGCCGATTGCTTCACCCTGTATCTAGCTATGCCAGCTTTGAGTTGCAGCTTTTTGAACTGAACCCGGCTTCGCCGATACTCTGCGCCAGTCGTGTATCGTCCGCCAAAGTGTAATAAGGATTTCATAAATGACTTTTCTGACTTTCTGTCCGGGATCATGGTGAATGAAATATGATCGTGTTTTGATCTCCGGAGACTTCAATGTCCATGTGTGTTGCGAGTCCAAACCTCTGGTTAGGGACTTTTTAAATCTCCTTGATTCCTTTGGTCTCGTTCAGTCCGTGGCTGGCCCAACACACGAAAAAGGACACACTTTGGACTTAGTATTATCGTTTTGGACTGTCTGTATCTGTGGATGAAATATGTGCAGCAACGCGTAATCTCAGACCATTTACCGGTTCTGTTTACAACCTCCATCCCTTCCGCAGGAGTCGAATCACGTGCCCCTGCGCGTCGTCTGCGTTCGATTAACCCCTTGACTGCCTCACTGTTCTCTGATGCTTTTAATGCTTCTCCGATCTGTAAATTAGATGTGAACTGTGCTTTTAATGCTGATGAGCTTATCTCCATGTTTGATTCGACATGTACACTAATACTGGATTCTGTTGCTCCTTTTACGCTTAGACGCACCAAAGTTCTATCAGAGCCGTGGCTCAATGACTGTACTCGTGATCTCAGTGCGCTTGCAGGCGTGCAGAGAGAAAATGGAAAAAGGATAAACTCCATGTCTCCCTAGAAATCCTTCGTGCTTGCCTTTCTGACTACCAGACGGCAGTCAAAGCAGCCAAAACAGAGCACATTTCTCTGTTAATCTCCAAAAACAGCCATAAACCTCAGGTTCTTTTTAATGTCCTCAACTCGATCATTAATCCCTGTGATGTTTCTTCTATTGTCCCATCGACTACTCTCTGTGATAAGTTCCTTACATTTTTTATTGAAAAGGTATCTGCTCTTAGGCTAGCCCACACTAGTGCTACCCCAGATCCTGCTCCTTTTCTGTGCCCTGCTGTCCTCGACCACTTTGACCCTGTATCCCTCTCTGCTCTCTCGGATGTAGTCAAGCACCTGCGGCCGACAAACTGCACCTCAGACAGCATTCCCTCTCGCCTTCTCAGAGATGTTTTAGAATCAGTTGGAGCAAGTATTTTATTACTTTTTAAACACCTCTCTTACCTCAGGATGTGTCCCAGCTGCCTTCAAACATGCCGTGGTTAAGCCACTCCTTAAAAAGAAAAATCTCGACCCCTCCATTCTCGCAAATTTTAGGCCCATCTCCCAGCTACCTTTTTTATCTAAAGCCCTGGAGCGAGTAGTCTACGCCCAGCTGCAGTCTTTTTTAACCCACGCATGGAATCCATGAAAAGTTCCAGTCTGGCTTCAAACCCATGCACAGCACTGAAACAGCCCTTTTAAGAGTTTTTAATGATCTGCTCCTAGCCGCCGACTCAGGTAGCCCAGCTGTCTTGGTGCTGTTAGACCTGACAGCTGCCTTTGACACTGTGGACCATAGCATCCTGCTGTCACGGCCTTGAACAGTCCGCTGGCATCACAGGCTCTGCCCTTGCATGGTTCAGGTCCTACCTGACAGACCGTAGCTTCTCGGTACAGCTAGGTGCCTTCTCCTCTGCCAAAGCCCCTCTTACCTGTGGGGTTCCCCAAGGCTCGATTCTGGGCCCCATCCTTTTTCTACTGTACATACTGCCCCTAGGTTCAATACTCACAAAACATAACATTCCCTTCCACTGCTATGCCGACGATGTACAGATATATCTGCCTCTCAAAGCAAATGTCACACACTCACTACAGCAGCTGATGGACTGCTTAGCAGAGATAAAATCCTGGCTGAGCAAAAACTTCCTCAACCTCAACGAGAGCAAGACCGAGGTCATCTTTTTTGGACCGCAACCTCCAGCCTCTCCGGTTGATATTCTGGGCTCTATCAAAAAAAACATCCTCCCCTCATGAACCTTTGAGTGACATTCACCAGCACTTTTAAATTTGACAAGCAGGTCAGCACCGTAGTAAAATCCTGCTTTTTTAAAATAAGACTATTGGCCAAAACCAAGTCGTATTTATCTTTTAAAGACTTAGAAAGGGTTATTAACGCCTTTGTAACCTCGAGACTGGACTATTGTAACGCTCTGTATGTGGGTATGGACCAGGCCTCAATCAAACGCTTACAGCTAGTCCAAAACGCTGCTGCACATTTGCTGACTGGTCACAAAAAGCGCGACCACATCACCCCTATTCTGGCCTCACTAACACTGGCTTCCAGTTCGGTTCAGAATTGATTTTAAAATCCTTTTATTTGTTTTTAAAGCACTAAATGGGCTGGCTCCGGCCTATATAGCTGAACTCCTCCAGCGCTACACCCCAGCCAGAGCTTTAAGGTCTGCTGACCAGCTGCTGCTGGTAGTGCCCAAGACCAGGCTAAAAACCCGAGGGCACCGAGCCTTCGCAGCAGCTGGCCCTAGGCTCTGGAACACTCTGCCCCTCCATGTGAGGTCGGCCCAGACCCTAGGGGTTTTTAAATCAAATCTAAAAACACACTTCTTCTCTCTGGCTTTCTAGTTAGAGCGGAGCACGACTCCTGACTATTCCGTGTGTTTTATTCTTATTTTGTTTTTTAAGTTATATCTGTTGTAATTTATTGTCGTTTATTGTGTTTTGTAGTAATGTGTTTTTATTACATGTACAGCACTTTGGCTCGACCAAAAATCGCTTTTAAATGTGCTTTATAAATAAAACCTGATTTGATTTGATTTGATTTGATTTGATTGTTGGAGGAGCTCAGGTCAGGAGAATTTCATTGCCATTTCTACACTGTAGCTTATATGCATATGACAATAAAACCTTTGAATCTTTGAATCTTCTACCTGAGCACGTGAGGCCAACAGCTCTGCCAGGTGAGCAGGTGTTTCTCTCTGAGGCTGAGCTACAGTCCAGGAGAGCAGACTCATGGCCTCCACACTGGAACTCTTTGGTCCACATTGGAGCCTCCCCTTCTCCATAGAGCGCCCCCTGGAGGGACTGAAGGAGCCCCACAGCCAAGCTGCCTGCAGACCACCTGAGCATCCTGCAGGTCAAAGTCAGCCTCACACACTGAGGACCAGGACGGGTTAGTCTGGTTAGACTTCACCTCCAGTCTACCTGAGCACAGACTGGTCCCATTCACCAGCCTGACAGAGCCTGCAGAGGTCAGAAGATAAAACAGAGGTAAAGAAACAGTTACTTTTTATTTTTTTATTGTATTTTATTCTTTATCTTTTATTTCAATTTTCTTATTTGTTTAATTATTTGAGAAAAAAGTCAAAAACACTGAAAAAAATTCACATTTGCTAAATAAGTCAAATTTAGAGAAAGAAATCTAAATTTTCGAAATAAGTCAATTTCTTTTTAATAAGTCAACATTTCGAGGAAAAAGTCAAAGGAGCTACCTGAACAGGTTAAAGTCAGGATGTCGTTAGAGGAATATGATATGTACACTCCCTCAGATCAGATGCAGACTGAACACAGGCAGACAGGATCCACCACACAGGTCTCACTGAGGACTCTCTCTCTCTCCCACAGAAACAGCAGAGCCACAGTCCAGATCTCTGCAGAGAACACCTGCTGTCTGCAGGGTCCTGAGAGAGGATAAGCCCCCCACTGGTCTCCATTCTCCCTGATGCCTTTCACATCCAGAGTTCCTGTACAGCGACTCTCTCCTCCCACCAGTCTGACCTCATCAGGCTCTGAAGTATATATATATATTTTTTTAATTATTAATATTTACTTTTATTTTTTTTATTATTTCTTTCCAACATTTTCAAAAATTACCCCTGATTCTGATTGCTCTCCATGTCTCCTTATTACAACAATAATCTCTAACATGTATGGTGTGTGGTGGGTGTGGTGTGGTGTGTGTGTGTGTGTGTGTGTGTGTGTGTGTGTGTGTGTGTGTGGTGTGTGGTGTGTGTGGGTGTGTGTGTGTGTGTGTGGTGTGTGTGTGTGTGTGTGCGTATGTGTGTGTGTGTGTGTGGTTGTGTGTGTGTGTGGTGTGGTGTGTGCGTGCGCACGTGTGTGTGTGTATGTGTGTGTGTGTGCATATGTGTGTGTGTGTGTGTGTGTGTGTGTGTGGTGTGGGTGTGTGTGTGTGTGTGTGTGTGTGTGTGTGTGTGTTTACATGTGCGTGTGTGTGTTGGAGTAATAATAACTTTCCACTTTGTCAGACGTGGAGCTGAATGTGTGTGTGATGTGTTTTAAAATCTACATCACAGAGAGAGAGAGAGAGAGAGAGAGAGAGAGAGAGAGAGAGAGAGAGAGAGAGAGAGAGAGAGAGAGAGGTGCTCTTCTCTCTCTCTGCGAGAGTTCCTCTATCTTTTGTATGAGGGTTAGGTAATTTTTTGGATGGCTGCGGGATGGACTCACCTTGATCGGAAAATCAGACTGAGCCGAGTCAGAGTCAGAGGAGTGAGGAATCATCTCAACAACCTGCACAGAAACAGAGAAGAGGAAGTGATATTGTTTATAAAAGGAGAAATATATCAACTCCTGATCGGTGTTGTGCAAACACAGGAAGAGAATTAAGTACTTTGACCGAATTCTGATATTCAAGCAAAACTTTAAAAGGTCAACTATAATACTAAATCCTCTTATTCATGTTTGTTCTACATCAACATGTGTCCCTCTGTCAGGAACAAAGACCCCCTCTCTTTCTGTCCTGATCCATCTCTATAAAAACCTGTCTTAAAGTCAGCTGATCAGATGTTGGTCTATATGTAGATATTTATTTACTTATGTAAGGAGTATATTGTTGCTCTAGCGCTCTTTTTATGCATTAACAAGGTTTTATCCTGTTTTAAAAAGACGTGTTATTAAAGTGTTTTTTAGAGCCCAGCTGCAGCAGATCAGCAGCTGGGCTGATAAAGATTAGCAGCTGATCAGGAGGTTAAACTGCCAGTGGATTTAAATGGATGGTCCCAAGTGTCACTTTTATCAATGTGAGTCTTATCGTTTAGTTTTATCACTGTTTGAACATTCCTGCCCCCAAAAAAACCGGCTCCCCCGGAGGGTAACACACATGCAGATACAGAAGAAATGAATGCGCAAAAATGTGCAACAAGTAAACTTTTACACAATTTAAGAGTAATCAATGCACGAATGGGTGAAAGAGACAGGTTCCAAAAGTCACATCTTACCTTGTAAAGAGAAAAAGAAAAGGAAATCCAGCTGCTCCTGTTGGGTTATCACTTGAAAACTTTTCCGAAAAAAGAGAGAGATCTCCAGACAGAAGTCCCCCGATGTTTGAGACTCTCAGCGTGTTTCAGCTGCTCCTCTTCCTCCGCTCTGCAGCAAGTTCAAATCCACCGCAGATCCGATGTGTCCCCGACATAAGAGAGAGAGAGGGGAGGGGGGGGGGGCTGGAGGAAGTGAGACTGGGGAAAGCGTGAGAGAGAGAAACTTAAAGGGGACCTATAATGCAAAATGCACTTTATGTGTCCCCGGTGTGTCAGAAAATAAAACCCTCTCTCTTTTCCTCCATGCGCAAATTCTGTAAAAACGGGGCCACAACGGAGCTGATCCAGATTTGCTGCGTCAGGACGATATTACTATTATTATTATTACGACGAGCGATCCTGCGCTGGTTTCGGGTCTCCATGTGCTCCAGAAGCTCAGCGAGAACACGTACACTTGGAATTCAAAATGAATGGTGACGAAAAATAAGAGAAATCCCATTGTTAAGTATTTGAAATGGGAACCTCCCGTGTTGGCCAAATAGCTTGAAATGATGGGAATTTTGCTGCATTACCAAGAATGGACCCCATTTCCCATAGTCCCAGATTTCAGGCTCCCAGCTCCACCCCAAAGCCAACTTCTTCCAGGAGCGTGATAGCTACTCGGAAACACCTGCAACCCGTTTGTGAGGTCTCGGAGGTTACGTCTTGTGATTTTGGAACAACTATCCCTTGAGGAAAATATATAGTGGCCTTTATTGATTGGCACCCAACAAAGGTCAAAGTGTACACCGGCAATACGTCTGCATTGAGCTGCCGGCATACGAGTGCATTTGCCAAAAGAAAACACCAAAAACAAGTAAAATCAAAGCGGGGACCCCTTGGCCTCGGAGTACACATGTCCACAAATAAACCACTTGAAACTGGAGATCGATTGATTGAATTAGTCCGGGAGTCCATTCGAGGCAAACTTGACACCGAACCCCCCAAAAGACCCGGCTAAGGCCGCTAGCCCGCCCCCTCCCCCTCTGGAGACGGACCACCTGGCCGACTTTGGGGTCTATTGGGCAACTTGGGAAATACATTAACCATGGACAGCATATTTGACAAATGCACTGTGATGTCCACCATTGTTTTTTGGACATTTAGAAGCTTGTAGTTTTTATAATAATTTTGCCTGTGGTTTTGACCATCGCCATCTTTGTTCTTTGACAGTCATCCTCTTGGTTTTTGGCCGTCACAATCTTCCAACCCTGTCTCCTAAAAATTACGTTCCCACAGAACTAAACTGCATTCTCAATTACGTTTAGCTAGAAACGTATTTTCTCCCACGTTACGTTTGTTATGAACGTATCTCAAATCTCAATTTTCTACATATCTTTGCCATTTATTTTCTTGCTTATAATAAGGATAATAGTCATTTATAAATATCATTTTAGAGCACACATTTGAAATCGACAAATAGATATAACTCATAGCAATATTGTAACCATTAAGAAAAGCCAACTGCATTAAAAACCCAGTTAACAAACACTAGGTAAAGTATTTTTCCTTCAGTAATGAAGATGTAATTCCAATGTATACACACCTGGGGTCGCTGTTCAGTCTGTTACGCTGAGCCATGCATTGTCTGGAACGTAAAAGGGACGAAGAAGACAAAGTGAAGTGACGTACTTCCGGTTCACCATGAAAACATTCCCAGTTAAACATGCAGAAACAAATCGCTAAATAAAAAGATAAAACACTGGCATGTAATTTACGTTAGAATAAATAGAATGGTTTTGAATAATAGATGAGAGTAAAATCTACGTCACTTTACGGCCCCGCCCACTTTTGGGGAAACCAACGCTGTCATTTGAACGGCGATCAAGTCTGAAGCCACAGAGCTCTTCTGTTACTGTCCTTTCTTCTTAGAGGAAGTGCAGCAACACGTAACTCTGGATTTGTTTTAATGTTTGAGGTGCAATAAACGGCACAGCAGCTTGTTGGCATGATACAACTATTATTTTCTGCCTCGCTCATGAGAGTCACAGCTGGCGAAATTACAGCCTCGTCTACTGATTTTAATTTAACCATATCGAGCCCGATCGTCGATTTCAAATGTGTGCTCTAAAATGATATTTATAAATGACTATTATCATTATTATAAGCAAGACAATAAATGGCAAAGATATGTAGAAAATAAACGTATTTAAGATACATAACGTGGGAGAAAATAAGTTTCTTGCTAAACGTAATTGAGAATGCAGTTTAGTTCTGTGGGAACGTCATTTTTAGGAGACAGGGTTGAATCTTCAAGCTGTTGCCATCTTGTCTTCGTTTCAAAGATGATTTTAAACTAGCATCTGAGACCTGAAACTTGTCTAATGAAGCTCAGCGCAAGTTCAACCAGGAAGACCGTCTTTACTAATTAATTTACTATTTCCATGTTACTACTCTCTCTCCTCTCAATAACTGATCGGGGGCGACACTCCCCAGCTTAACCAATCACTTCGCTCTATTCTCACAAGCCTATCATAGCGCTCTGCTAAACCTTTTAAATCTGCTCTCCCCCCTCCGACAGCTGTAATTTCAGGTGACTCGACGCAACCCTCCTCCACCCCTTTTCACCTCCTGTCCCTCTGAATCCAGGGTCAAGCTAAGCCACTCCCCTTCAGACCGACCCCAACTATCCATTCACCACACCAGGGTCAAGCTAAGCCCCTCCCCTTCAGACCGAACCCAACTACCCATTCACCACCACCAGGGTCAAGCTAAGCCACTCCGCTTCAGACCGACCCCAACCATCCATTCACCACCACCAGGGTCAAGCTAAGCCCCTCCCCTTCAGACCGAACCCAACTATCCATTCACCACCACCAGTGTCTAGACCTTGGGGGATTTCATCGGATCGGTTCTCCCCTCCCGAATGATACTCCCGCACAACGGGGCCTAATCACCAAAACTCCATTACATTCATTTGTGTATTCCTGGCAATAAATATGTATTCTTACATCAAAACCGTCTCTCCTGATTGAAATACTATTAGATATTTTAAAAGTAGGTTCGTTTTTTCATAGACTTCTATAGAATTGACAATGTTATGCAGCAATCGCCCCCTGGTGGCCGTGAGAAGGATGTTTTCTAACCTTAAGGTTGCCGCTTGGTTTTAAACAAACCAAACTCTTAAACTCAACCTCTTAAGCACGGCGGTCCCCCCATTGGACCCCTCCCACCTTTGAATTTTCGAGACAATGTCTCAGGGCTTCTTAACATTTATGAAACTATTAATGTGTAGCACCAGATTAACGGGAAGAATCTCAGCTAACTGAAGATATGAACTATTTTTACCAAAACAAAACACAAGTCTCATAAGAAGCGTCTAAATGACCCCTGAGCGAAAAAATGCAAACTGACTTTGGCACACAATTCAAGATAAAGATACCCTTATTACTTATCGTAGCTGCACTTACAATATAGCCGATTAAAGCTGAGACTCCACAGATTATTTAGGTATAGTATCATCACTGAGCGATCCGAACTAGCTTTTACGGCAGATCGTCTCACCGTAGCTGTCAATTAGATCAAAAGACGTGTTCAATGGCATTAAAACGAAGAAAGAAAATGCTACAACTGTTGATCCATAGGTTGATAATGTACCTGTGCCTTTTAAAAAATGATTTATAATCCATAATTCCATTTTTATGTAAAAATCGGAGCGGAAAAGTTAGCTGCTAATGGTAGCCACCAGAGTGTATGCAGCTTCCGGTTTTGGTTACCGTCACTGTCACTCCTTATTTGTTAACGTTTTGGTGTGTATATAACTTTCCCTCGATTCCATTGGCTCTAGCGGTTATAAAGAGATTTCATTCATCGAAATCGAGCAAGGGGGGGCCAGATATAGGTCAAATCCACCCAAATCCCCCAGAAGTGTTTTTTTTTGGCTAAATCTCTCTAAAAAGGTCAAATGTCACTTGTTTTGCATCAATCTTGATACAGGGTACTTATTATATGTTGTACTTTGGATTCCTAAAGCTTTTAGTCTACTAACCCATCATCCAAGGGTAGTTTTCACTATAAGTAAAAAATAATATTTGGACGGACACTATAATTTACAGTTTTTTACCATGTAAAATCTGAATTTTCTTTAAAATAAAAAACATTTATATTGATTCTGACTTTTCTAAATCCAACTCACAGGTTTATCATTACTTTGAGAATAAAGATTATTAATTTAACCCTTTAAGAAGTGAAGATATGGTCATTTGTTCTGGGAATGTCATTTTTGAGCCTGAGACCTGAAAAACAGGCTCAGGGCTTAAGAGGTTAAGAGGAAATTAAGTTGGATGTTAAAACTTAAGCTGACATATGCTATCCAGGGGTATTTCTGCGTCTCTTTGTGGTTGTTTTGCATCTTTTTGTTGTCTCTTTATAGTCTTTTAAGTCACGTTGTTTATTTTTATGGTCATTTTGCGTCTCTTTATGGGCATTGCGCGTGTCTTTTTTGTGAATTTGTGTCTCTCTGAAGTCATGTTGTAAAATTTGTATTTCTTTTGTGTATATTTGTATCAGTTTTCTCTCTTTTTTAGTCATTTTGCATGTCTTTGTTGTTATATAAGTGCATCTATGTGGTCATTTTGTTCCCCGTTTTGTAGCCTGTTGTGTATATCTGGCATGAGGAAACTAAAGCAATTATAAAAGAGAAACTCATCACATCTTGAGTAACAAAGCTTCTCTCATCCAAGATAAAGAACATTTCCAGGAATACCAAAGCAGTTTGACAAAAATCCAGCAGCTACATCAGTGTAGAAGAAAAGAGCTTTGTTTCACAGAGATGTTGCACATTACATTCAGATGTAAAGCCAAATGTAACAATCTGTTTGGAAGCCCAGCTTTCTCCAACATTATAGAAACAATCTGATGAATTAAAACAAGCAGAGACGTGTTTACTGTTCAGGAGTATATCAGTATGTAGTGTCTCTACTTTAAAGAGTCCTCTGCTGCTGATGTTCAGGTGTATATCAGTATGTAGTGTCTCTACTTTAAAGAGTCCTCTCCTGCTGATGTTCAGGAGTATATCAGTATGTAGTGTCTCTACTTTAAAGAGTCCTCTCCTGCTGATGTTCAGGTGTATATCAGTATGTACTGTCCCTACTTTAAAGAGTCCTCTCCTGCTGATGTTCAGGTGTATATCAGTATGTACTGTCCCTACTTTAAAGAGTCCTCTCCTGCTGATGTTCAGGTGTATATCAGTATGTAGTGTCTGTACCTTAAAGAGTCCTCTCCTGCTGATGTTCAGGTGTATATCAGTATGTAGTGTCTCTACTTTAAAGAGTCCTCTCCTGCTGATGTTCAGGTGTATATCAGTATGTAGTGTCTCTACTTTAAAGAGTCCTCTCCTGCTGATGTTCAGGTGTATATCAGTATGTAGTGTCTCTACTTTAAAGAGTCCTCTCCTGCTGATGTTCAGGTGTATATCAGTATGTAGTGTCTCTACTTTAAAGAGTCCTCTCCTGCTGATGTTCAGGTGTATATCAGTATGTAGTGTCTCTACTTTAAGAGTCCTCTCCTGCTGATGTTCAGGTGTATATCAGTATGTAGTGTCTCTACTTTAAAGAGTCCTCTCCTGCTGATGTTCAGGTGTATATCAGTATGTAGTGTCTGTACCTTAAAGAGTCCTCTCCTGCTGATGTTCAGGTGTATATCAGTATGTAGTGTCTCTACTTTAAAGAGTCCTCTCCTGCTGATGTTCAGGTGTATATCAGTATGTAGTGTCTCTACTTTAAAGAGTCCTCTCCTGCTGATGTTCAGGTGTATATCAGTATGTAGTGTCTCTACTTTAAAGAGTCCTCTCCTGCTGATGTTCAGGTGTATATCAGTATGTAGTGTCTCTACTTTAAAGAGTCCTCTCCTGCTGATGTTCAGGTGTATATCAGTATGTAGTGTCTCTACTTTAAAGAGTCCTCTCCTGCTGATGTTCAGGTGTATATCAGTATGTAGTGTCTCTACTTTAAAGAGTACTCTCTAAAAGACTGAAACAACACTGTTGTGAAATAACACTTCTTTAAAAATGTCTTAATGTTGTTCCTGGCTGCTGATTTTTATACGTTCACTAACTTTCATAATGATGCCACTTATCTTTATACCTTTAATTTCTTGCTGTGGGGCGAATAAAATGTTTCTGATCCTGTTCTAAAGAAACATGTTTTAATGTTTTATTGCATTATCTCTCCAGGGGAACACACACACACACACACACACACACACACACACACACACACACACACACACACACACACACACACACACACACACACACACACACACACACACACACACACACACACACGTGCCTGGGAGACCTCCTCCTCCTCCTCCTCCTCCTCCTTCTCTCAGCTGACTCCAGGGAGTCGCTTCAGATGGTTTGTGTTTGTGGACGTTATTCGCTCTCGCCCACCTCGTCATGACTGCAGCTCCTGTCTGAAGTTTAGGGGAGAAAAAGGTATATTTTAGATGGAATAATTAACAGAATAATATTCCATGACATAAAAGGCCATGTCACAATTAACAAGGAAAACATAAATGTCATATTATCCAGAAAATCATCAAAATGAAATGTTTTAAATGCCACAAAACATATTGAATGCACTACAAAATGTTTTGTTTTTTTAATGTAAAGCAAAGACCTTCATCATCAACGCAGAGTTAGGTGGGTTCAGATCAGTGATTTTATTTCTACTTTAAGAATATTTTTGATATGTATTTCACTGGTGTTGTGTTTCCTGCTGTTGGAGTCGGCAGGCCTGTATTAATTATTCTGGCAATTAATCAGACCTACTAATTGACTAACAGTCTCACCTCTACTAACTTCTGAAGAACCAGGTTCAATGAACTGCTGTTTCTATTCAGACGACACACTAAATCCGTCTAAGCGATCCCATAGGATTCTGGTATCTGTAATGAGGTGTGGCCCTGCCTAAGTGTGAGTGTGGCAGTGTGCAATCTTACCTTAAAGCAGGAGAGGACGCAGATTTATTTTAAGTTATCCCAGTCCAAAAGGGTAGGATGATTTTATTTGAAGAAAATGGTCCACACTTTTACAGGGTTTTACCTTCTCTCGTTACAATGTGACAATCATACACAAATATTTCATGCTGTGGTAAATTACTAATCAAAAACCTCAATTCACAGTTTTACATTTCTTATTTTATTTGGTAAATCTCTTCTCTTCAACTTGCATTAAAACCTCTTCCACTGGAATTCAGAGGAAAACCCTCATAGACTACCAGGTGTGAAATAAAATACATTAAAACCTCTTCATCTGTCCCTCGTCAGTTGTGATATTAAATTCAACGGCCCTCTTCCATTGGTAATATTACAATCTCTAGAGTACTTAGGAGAAACCCTGCTCTGAAGCGTTTCCTCTCTCAGCTATAGTGCTTTTATGTTCCACACAAGGACAGAAAACCAAAGACACACCTTCTTACCCATATATGTGGGGAAAGGTCATGACCTCTGGTGTGCAGGACTGGAAATATCCAAACTTTTCTCCTATGGTATGGCTAAAACACATTTTGGGGCTCCAGTACTTTTCCATTGAGTCAGGAGTCTCCTCTGTACAGCCTGCTGTGAGTGAAGACAACTGTCTCCCCTCTGCTAAACAGTGACACCCATAGTGATAAACTATTAAGGCCTTAAACTTAATTTTCCAAACCACTTACATTTTGTATATATTGTGAGTATAGAACAACATGAAACATAATGCATTTTCATTGTGGGTTATATAAGATTATATTTGATTATATGAACTGTTGTTTTAATTATTGAACTCAATATTGAAACCTCAACAAAGCCACATTAGGAGAAAACAGTCAAATTTCCAAATATTAAGAAAAAAGTCAACTTTGGAGAAAAAAATCAAATTGTGAAAATGATTTTACTGAGGAATTATTCAAATTTTGAGGAAAAAGTCAAATTTGGAGAGAAAAAAAATCAAATCTAAAAAAGTCAAATATGGAAAACTAGTTCAAATTTGGAGAAAAAAATCCAATTAAAAAAAAAGAGTCAACGTCAAAGGAGCTTACCTGAACAGGTAAGAGTCAGGAAGTGGGAAGAGCAACTTGATACTGCACACTCCCTCAGAGCAGATGCAGAATGAACACATTGAGGACAGATCCACCACACAGATCTCTTTGAGGACTCTCTGTCTCCTAGAGAAACAGCAGAGCCACAGTCGAGATCTCTGCAAGCAACACCTGCTGCCTTCAGGGTCCAGGTAGAGTCCCATACTGGTCTCCATTCTCCTCGATGTTTCACCTCCAGAGTTCCTGCACAGCGACTCTCTCCTCCCACCAGTCTGACCGGCTCTGAAGAGAAAAAAGAGAGTCATCATCGAGAGAATAAATTGAGTTTGATGAAATGAACCAATCACAGCTGCAGCTCCTCTATTTTATATTCTATTTACATGTATATAAAATTCAAATGCAAAGGTTTCATTGTAATATGCACATGAGCTACACGTTAAAAATGGCAATCATAATGGCAATTTTCGAGGAAAAGTCAAATTTCGGAGGAAAAAGTCAACATTTGAGGAAAAAAATCCAAAATGTGTGAAAAAAGACAAACACTTTGAGAAGAAAGTCAACTTTGAAGAAATAAGTCAAATTTGGTGAACAAAATCAAATTAAAAAAAAAAAGTAAAATTTTGAGGAAAAAGTTTAAAAGAAATTGATGGAACAATCTGCGAGGAATGAACTAGGAGCAGAGAAATAATCATATTTTAAAAGACAGCAGCTTCATAAGAGGCCAACAAGAGTGACAGAGTGTGTCACTGTGCTGAAGGATAGACCAGCTATCCAGACCAGTCTCTAAAGACTTTCCAAGGGGTAAATATGCTGCTGCTGGAGTACTGACTGGCATAGTTGGGTAACAAAGTAACAAAGTACTGTAATAATATTACTTTTGTCGGTAACGGAGTAATGTAACGCGTTACTTTTATAATTCAGTAATCACACTACAGTTACTAACATTGCCCGACACGCGTTACTTCGTTACTTTTATAAAATCAGTAATCACACTACAGTTACCTACTAACATAAAGAATTACTAGATTCTCCCTTTGACAGACAAGAGGGATTTCCGCCGCAAGTTTATATTTACATAACATTTGCGCGACTTGCGCGTCCACATGCAGTGCATAAACATGGCTGAGTCAACAGCTATAACTTTCGAGGGGTGGAGGTATGCCCATTATTTTGAGTTCGTCCGAAGAAAGGACAGGAATGTGACGGTGAGGTGCAAACTGTGTCCAGGCCAGAAGCTTTTATCCACTGCTGCAAACACAACGTCAAACTTCCACAAGCACCTGCAAAGACAACATGCTAACGTGAAGCTAATAGCTAAGGAGGACCTCCGAAGGCTAACGTGAAGCTAATAGCTAAGGAGGACCTCCGAATCCAGAGTGAGGATGTTGAGTGTGCGCCGCCGCCGAAACGGGGGTGCTAGTGGAGCCTCGCAGCGCCGAAACTGTGGCGTGCTTACACTGTAGGTGCGCCACATTTGCGCTTCAGATGAGGCTCCCTCCGCAAAATGAAGCACCCTCCGCAGTCTGCGTGATCTGCCTGTAGGGAGGGGCGGCCCTGCGAGAAAAGTAACGAGTAAAGTAACGAGTAAAGTAACGAGTAAAGTAACGAGTAAAGTAACGCGTTACTTTATGTAGAGAGTAACGAAGTAAAGTAATATATTACTTTTTTTTAAAGTAATATGTAATATATTACTTTTTTTGAGTAACGACCCCATCTCTGCTGACTGGAAGTATTGCTGATATCATATCTACCATATCCTCTTAAAGTGCTCTGTCCAACAATATCAGTCTCATGAAGAAAGGTGTTTTAACGCTTATTAAAAATAGCAGAAAAACATGCATTCTTGTACACACGAGGGGACATTGACAGAGGATTACTGGAAAAGTACACAGTAAAAGTACTTCATAGTACTTGTTGGGGTGGTTTCACTAGTACTGAGTCCTAGTTTAAATCTCCTAACAATGTTGTCCATTTTAGACATAGGCTTATTATATTTGCAGCCCTTAATAACATTCGTTTTCTGGGCTCAATGTGTCTCTTGGCCGTTTTCGTTGTGATCGCTAAATTCACCTTGTTTATAATATTATCACCATTCCTTCAGCCGGATACTGTAGTGCTTCAAAGTGTATTTTAGCACACGAGTGCTTTTGTTTTGAAATCACTTCCGTGAGTTTCGCCCCGCCCCTCGCTCCAATGACCATTAGACCATTTAGTAAGGTAAAAAGCAAAAACGCCTCTCAGACGCTGTTCCGTTTACTTGTTTAATAAAGCAAAAGAAATGGTCAGTAGATACACAGATTCTTCTTGCACTATTTTTTATTTTTGTATTTTATTATATATGTTGCATTGTTGGAGGAGCTCAGGTCAGGAAAATGTCATTGCCATTTCTACACTGTAGCTTATGTGCATATGACAATAAAACCTTTGAATCTTTGAATCTTCTACCTGAGCAGGTGAGGCCAACAGCTCTGCCAGGTGAGCAGGTGTTTCTCTCGGAGGCTGAGCTACAGTCCAGGAGAGCAGACTCATGGCCTCCACACTGGAACTCTTTGGTCCACATTGGAGCCTCCCCTTCTCCATAGAGCGCCCCCTGGAGGACTGAAGGAGCCCCACAGCCAAGCTGCCTGCAGACCACCTGAGCATCCTGCTGGTCAAAGTCAGCCTCACACACTGAGGACCAGGACGGGTTAGACTGGTTAGAGTGGTCAGAGTTCACCTCCAGTCTACCTGAGCACAGACTGGTCCCATTCACCAGCCTGACAGAGTCTGGAGAGGACAGAAGATACAACTCAGGTAAATAAACAGTTACTTTTTCTATTGTATTTTATGCTTTATCTTATATTTCTATGTTCTTATTTGTTATTTATTTAAAAATCAAAAAGTCAAATTTGGAGAAAAATCTAAATTTGAGAAAATAGTCAAATATGAAGAAATATGTCAAATGTTGAGAAAATCCAATTCTAAAAAAAGAGTCAGAGTCAAAGGAGCTTACCTAAACAGGTAAGAGTCAGGAGGTGGGAAGAGGAACTTGATATTGCACATTCCTTCAGAGCAGATGCAGACTGAACACATTGAGGACTGATCCTCCACACAATTCTCTTTGAGGACGCCTTTCTCTCTCCCACAGAAACAGCAGAGCCGCAGTCGAGATCTCTGCAGGCAACACCTGCTGTCTTCAGGGTCCAGGGAGAGGAAGAGCCATCCACTGGTCTCCATTCTCCTCGATGTTTCACCTCCAGGTCTCCTGCACAGCGACTCTCTCCTCCCACCAGTCTGACCTCACCAGGCTCTGAAGGGAAACAAGAGAGAGATCAGAGAGAGAATACAGTGAGTTTGATGAAATGAACCAATCACAGCTGCAGCTCCTCTATTTTATATTCTATTTACATGTATATCAAATTCAAATGCAAAGGCTTTATTGTAATATGTGACACGAAGGGCTCTTAAGAACTCAGATGCTCGATTCCGTAGCTTTGTAATATGCTTTATTATTAAGATCACAAAGCTTTTCAAAGTGTCTTCTAGGATCTACTAGGATATTCCATAGAATCTCTAGGTTCGACTAGGCAAGGATAACAGGTCTCTGGTAACAGGCATGGATCTGATGATGAGACAAGACGAACCAACACAAGACAAAGGGAGAGAAGGACTATATATACACACACACACACATAAGGTAATGAGGCACAGGTGGACACAATCAGGGGCGGGAACAACAATCAGTCTGACCGGTGACACACAATGACAGGAAGTGCATTTGATGACATCCCATAATACGCTTAGATGCGTTGATGGCTGCATCGTTACCGAACCTGTGAAGTTTTGGGCCGTTTGGAGCATTTTCACTGAAGTTATGAGAAAACCGTGTTTCATGGCGAGCCTTGTGTTACCATGGCAACGGCATTTGAAGAAACCCCATAATTGACGTAGAGCTGTTGAGGGCTGGACCGGTGATATACAAGCGAAGTTTGGAGGACGATCGGACCGTGTCCATTGGACTTACAGCGACATCGTGCTTCATGGCGAGTGGTCTGTCGCCATGGCAACGGCATTTGATGACACCCCATAATACGGTTAGATGCGTTGATGGCCGCATCGTTACCAAACCTGTGAAGTTTTGGGCAGTTTGAAGCATTTTCACTGAAGTTATGAGAAAACCGTGTTTCATAGCAAGCATTGTGTTGCCATGGCAACGGTATTTGAAGAAACCCCATAATACGGTTAGATGCGTTGATGGCTGCATCGTTACCAAACCTGTGAAGTTTTGGGCCGTTTGAAGCATTTTCACTGAAGTTATGAGAAAACCGTGTTTCATGGTGAGCATTGTGTTGCCATGGCAACGGCATTTGAAGAAATCTCAAAACTGTCTCGTAGATGTCTTCACGGCTGGACTGTTAGCACACAAGTGAATTTTGAGCACTTTTTGAACATTTTCATAGGAGTTAAAGGGACATCGTGTTTTATGGCGAGGGATGCGTTTCCATGGAAATGGCATATGGTGAGATTTCAGATTTGGCATAGAGCTGTTGAGGCATGGACCGGTGATATACAAGTGAAGATTGGGGGACGATTGGACCATGTCCATTGGACTTACAGCGACATCGTGTTTCATGGCGAGTGGTCTGTCGCCATGGCAACGGCATTTGGTGACCACCCATACTACGCTTAGATGCGTTGATGGCTGCATCGTTACCAAACCTGTGAAGTTTTGAGCCGTTTGGAACATTGTGTGTGAGAGAGAGAGAGAGAGAGTGTGTGTCTGTCTGTGTGTGGCAGAGAGAGAGAGAGAGAGAGAGAGAGAGAGAGAGAGAGAGAGAGAGAGAGAGAGAGAGAGAGAGAGAGAGAGAGAATGAAATGAACAGTTAGAACTGACTGCTGTCAGTTGGAGTGATGACATCATCGTGTTCCATTACACAGGTGTTTATAGTTGAGCTAACGAGCTCTGTGGAGATCAAAGGTTTGCATTGTTCTGAATGAGACATGAACCTCTTACATGTGAATGAACAGTTAGAACTGATTGCTGTCAGTTGGAGTGATGACATCATCGTGTTCCATTACACAGGTGTTTATAGTTGAGCTAACGAGCTCTGTAGTGATCAAAGGTTTGCATTGTTCTGAATGAGAGATAAACCTCTTACATGTGAACGTTTTGTGGAAGAACGATAACAGATATCTGTGAAATTTCAAAACGTGAAGCATGTCAAGGAAGTTGAGTATCTGAAGTGTAATTTTTGTGTACTTTCGGGTTAATAATGTGGCCTTTTTGGCAGTTTAACTAAAGGTGTGTGGCTGCTGCTGTGAGGAAATATCTGCCTGAAATTACAATGGGCTTTAATGGAGACATGTTGAACGTTTTTGTCACTTCATGCCCTCAAGAGGCATTTTGTTTAATTATTTTTGCTTAATTATTTGTCATTTTTTCAAGCTACGAGATGTTTTCCTACGTTTGTCATGAAAAAGTATGTCTCAATAATGTAGGGTTTGGGAATTATGGCAGTTTTAAAAAAAAATATGAAGGCACATTTCAAGAATTTCCACACTCTAGCTGTGACATCACGCACTCTAGTTAATGTTAAAATCTGAAGAAAACCTCTTTAACAAGGTCTGAACAATGTTTAATATCTCCAAAAGTAAGAATCAGATTTAAAAGTTGTGTTACACGAATAATGTCAGAAAGATGTGTAACATTTTAAAGTTGGAATGAGGTTTCTGAGTGAAAGTATGAATGAACAGTTAGCAGTTGAAGTCGCATGAAGATTTGTTGAAGTCTGAAGAATGTCTCCATTGACATCCATGTTAAAAATTGGATGTATAATGGGCTGTATCTCTGGAATTATGAAAGTTATGAATGATAAAAGTAATAGCCTGCGATTCCCGACCGAGCTGAACGTTTTGATGTTTGAACAGAGTTTCTGCGATGTTGAATGTGGGAAGAGAAGAGGGCCAAAATAAGTGGGCGAAATAATAAGAATAAGGACTTTGTCCGTAGCATAACATATAGTTGGAATGCTGTATCAGCATTCCCACTAAATTAAAAACGGTTTATTGCGGTGATAACTATTTATATAAATAAGTAGATGGCAAGATGAGACTTCTTGCATATAGACTTTTTGCACTATTTATTTTTGTATTTTATTTAGTGGGAATGCTGTTAACAGCATTCCAACTATCTGTTCTTCTACGCACAACATTTTTTATTATTCCGCCTGTTATTTTGGCCCTCTTCTCTCCCACATTCCACATCGCAGAAACTCCTTTCAAACATCAAAACGTTCAGCTCGGTCGGGAATCGATGGCTATTACTTTTATCATTCATAACTTTCAGAATTCCAGAGATATAGCCCATAATTCATCACATGTTTAACATTTTAACTTTAACATTGCGCAGCTCGTTAAGGCAGAGTGTGTGATGTCAGAGTTAGAGTGGAGGATAGTTTGAAATTTGCCTTCATATTTTGTTTTAAAACTGCCATAATTCCCAAACCCTACATTCCTGAGACATCATTTTTCATGACAAACGTAGGAAAACATCTCATAGCTTGAAAAATTACAAATAATTAAGCAAAAAATAATTAAACAAAATGCCTCTTGAGGGCATGAAGTGACAAAAACTTTCAACATGCCTCCATTAAAGCCCATTGTAATTTCAGGCTGATATTTCCTCACGGTAGCAGCCGCACACCTTTAGTTAAACTGCCAAAAAGGCCACATTATTAACCCGAAAGTACACAAAAATTACACTTCAGATACTCAACTTCCTTGACATGCTTCACGTTTTGAAATTTCACAGATATCTGTTACGGTTCTTCGACAAAACGTTCACATGTAAGAGGTTTATCTCTCATTCAGAACAATGGAAACCTTTGATCTCAGCACACCTCGTTACCTCAAATATAAACACCTGTGTCATGGAACACAATGATGTCACATTGACAGGTTTGGTAACGATGCAGCCATCAACGCATCTAAGCGTATTATGGGGTGTCATCAAATGCCGTTGCCATGGCGACAGACCACTCGCCATGAAGCACGATGTCGCTGTAAGTCCAATGGACACGGTCCGATCGTCCCCCAAACTTCGCTTGTATATCACCGGTCCAGCCCTCAACAGCTCTACGTCAATTATGGGGTTTCTTCAAATGCCGTTGCCATGGCAACACAATGCTCGCCATGAAACACGGTTTTCTCATAAATTCAGTGAAAATGCTCCAAACGGCCCAAAACTTCACAGGTTTGGTAACGATGCAGCCATCAACGCATCTAACCGTATTATGGGGTGTCATCAAATGCCGTTGCCATGCCGACAGACCAATCGCCATGAAGCACATTGTCGATGTAAGTCCAATGGACACGGTCCAATCGTCCCCGAATCTTCACTTGTATATCACCGGTCCAGCCCTCAACAGCTCTACGTCAATTATGGGGTTTCATCATATGCCATTTCCATGGAAACGCATCCCTCGCCATAAAACATGATGTCGCTATAACTCCTATGAAAATGTTCAAAAAGTGCTCAAACTTCACATGTGTGCTAACAGTCCAGCTGTGAAGATATCTACGGGACATGCCGTTGCCATGGCAACACAATGCTCACCGTGAAACAGGGTTTTCTCATAACTTCAGTGAAAATGCTCCAAACGGCCCAAAACTTCACAGGTTCGGTAACGATGCAGCCATCAACGCATCTAAGCGTATTATGGGATGTCATCAAATGCCGTTGGCATGGCGACAGATCATTCGCCATCAACTTAGTTCAAATGTTTGCAGTTCAATTATTCTGCTGCTTTTCCAAGCCTTTTTACTTTCTTTTCTTCTCTCATCACACATTCAAGCCCCCAGTGTTCATGTATCATTTCAATCTAAATTCTTCACTTTCTTCTTACACATTACACTTCAGCATAGCAATTTAGCATCAGCTTTTCAGCATAAAGATTCCCACTAGCAATTTCTTCAGGAATTGCATTCTCTTATATATGTTGCATTGTTGGAGGGGCTCAGGTCAGGAGAATTTCATTGCCATTTCTACACTGTAGCTTATGTGCATATGACAATAAAACCTTTGAGTCTTTGAATCTCCTACCTAAGCAGGTGAGGCTAACAGCTCTGCCAGGTGAGCAGGTGTTTCTCTCTGAGGCTGAGCTACAGTCCAGGAGAGCAGACTCATGGCCTCCACACTGGAACTCTTTGGTCCACATTGGAGCCTCCCCTTCTCCATAGAGCCACCCGTGGAGGACTGAAGGAGCCCTACAGCCAAGCTGCCTGCAGACCACCTGAGCATCCTGCTGGTCAAAGTCAGCCTCACACACTGAGGACCAGGACGGGTTAGTCTGGTTAGACTTCACCTCCAGTCTACCTGAGCACAGACTGGTCCCCCCCAGCAGCCTGACAGAGTCTGGAGAGGACAGAAGATAAAACTCAGGTAAAGAAACAGTTGCTTTTTGAATTTGTATTGTATTGTATGCTTTATCTTATATTTCTATTTTCTTATTTGTTATCTAAAAATCTAAATTTCAGTCAAATCTCTGAGGAAAAAGTCAAATGTTGTGAAATAAGTCAAATTGGGAGAAAAAAATCTAATTCTAAAAAAAGAGTCAAAGTTAAAGGTGCTTACCTGAACAGGTAAGAGTCAGAAAGTTGGAAGAGGAACTTGCTGTTGCACACTCCCTCAGAGCAGATCCAGACTGAACACAGGCAGGACTGATCCCCCACACAGATCTCTTTGAGGACTCCTTTCTCTCTCCCACAGAAACAGCAGAGCCACAGTCGAGATCTCTGCAGACAACACCTGCTGCCTTCAGGGTCCTGAGAGAGTTAGAGCCCTTCACTGGTCTCCATTCTCCCTGTTTCACCTCCAGGTCTCCTGCACAGCGACTCTCTCCTCCCACCAGTCTGACCGGCTCTGAAGAGAAACAAGAGAGTGATCAGAGAGAGAATAAAGTGAGTTTGATGAAATGAACCAATCACAGCTGCACCTCCTCTATTTTATATTCTATTTACATGTATATCAAATTCAAATTCAAAGCTTTTATGTTCATATGCATATAAGCTACAGGTTAGAAATGTCAATGAGGGATTTTGAAAAAAATAATAATAATTGAGGAAAAAGTCAACATTTTAGAAAAAAGTCAAAAACTCTGAGAAAAAATCCAAATTTCGAAATAAATAAATGAATAGTTACATTTGGAGGACAAAGTGAAATTGTTTTTTAACAAAGTCAAAAACTCTAGAAAAAATCTAATTTTGGAGAGAAAAAATTAATACAAAAAAAAAGTTTGACCAAATTTCGAGGAAAAGTCAACAAACCAAACATTTTAGAAAAAAGTCAACTTTAGAGAAAAAAGTCAACTTTAGAGAAAAAAGTCAACTTTAGAGAAATAAGTCACATTTTGAGGAAAAAAAAGTAATTGTGCAACAAGTCTATACAATATGATATGTACAAGAAAAGAATATGAAATTAAATAATGTACACTAAGACTAAATTAAAAACGGTTTATTGCGGTGATAACTATTGATATAAATAAGTAGATTGCAAGATGAGACTTCTTGCAGATAGATTGTATATAGACTTCTTGCATTATTTTGTAGATATGTATTTTATTATATATGTTGCATTGTTGGAGGAGCTCAGGTCAGAAGAATTTCATTGCCATTTCTACACTGTAGCTTTGAATCTTTTACCTGAGCAGGTGAGGCTAACAGCTCTGCCAGGTGAGCAGGTGTTTCTCTCGGAGGCTGAGCTACAGTCCAGGAGAGCAGACTCATGGCCTCCACACTGGAACTCTTTGGTCCACATTGGAGCCTCCCCTTCTCCATAGAGCGCCCCCTGGAGGACTGAAGGAGCCCCACAGCCGAGCTGCCTGCAGACCACCTGAGCATCCTGCTGGTCAAAGTCAGCCTCACACACTGAGGACCAGGACGGGTTAGAATGGTTAGACTTCACCTCCAGTCTACCTGAGCACAGACTGGTCCCATTCACCAGCCTGACAGAGTCTGGAGAGGACAGAAGATAAAACTGAGGTAAAGAAACAGTTACTTCTATAATTTGTATTGTATTTTCTTATTTGTTATTTAATAAAAAATCAAATATCTGAGAAAATAAGTCAAATTGTGAGGAAACTTCAAATTTCGAGGAACAGTCAAATTCTGAGAAAGAGTCAAAGGAGCTTACCTGAACAGGTAAGAGTCAGGAAGTAGGAAGAGTAACTTGCTGTTGCACACTCCCTCAGAGCAGATCCAGACTGAACACATTCAGGTCTGATCCTCCACGCAGAGCTCTCTGAGGACTCCTCTCTCTCTCCCACAGAAACAGCAGAGCCACAGTCCAGATCTCTGCAGAGAACACCTGCTGCCTCCAGGGTCCAGGTAGGAAAACCAATCACTGGTCTCCATTCTCCCTGAAGCTTCAGCTCCAGAGCTCCTGCACAGCGACTCTCTCCTCCCACCACTCTGACCGGCTCTGAAGAGAAACAAGAGAGTCATCAGAGAGAGAATAAAGTGAGTTTGATGAAATGAACCAATTACAAATGTTGGGGAAATATTTTCCTCGGCCCATAACTTTGACCCAGTTTATCAGTTTGTACTGCCCTCGCTGAGCACAGGCCTGCTACCCTGGGCTGCTCTCAGTGTTTTGTCTCCCTGTTCCTGCCTGTTGGCTTCAGCTGATAGGTGCTATAGTGCTCCTCCTGTTTGATCTTGTTATGCACAATGTTGATTATTCTCTCAGAACTAGCTGAATACAGGGCTCTGGGGTAGAGATCTTCAGAATTGGTTTGGCAGAAGCTGTGTCACCTCGTAGCGGGAGCACGTCTTGTCAAATTCTCCGGCCGTAACTCCATAATAAACCCTCAGTGTTTGTCATCAAAGTTCCAGCTCTCCCCGTGTCTCTCTGAGCTCTCCATTGCTTCAGAAGTTTCCATCACACACTGGCGAAGTCGTTAGGGAGTTGGCTTTGCAACTGGAAGGTCAACAGTTCAAGTCCCGGCAAGACCAAGTGCTACCGAGGTGTCCCTGAGTAAGGCACCGTTCCCTACAATGCTCCCCGGGCAGATGGGGCTCATAGCCATGGAAGGCAACACATCTAGGAGAAGGACACTCTGAACTAAAAACCAGGACTGAGAGGAGTTGCGCCGCCCAGTCCTTAATCAGCATAGTAAAGCCAACCATGAAGAACAAAGTCATCCCAAAATCCTATACGGAGAACCGGGATGACTGGAAGCGACGATGGAGGGCTCGTCTGAGGACGACCTAGAGAGATCACAACAACACATTCTCACTCCCAACTCGGCCTATGTTGACGTTATGTCAGGGTCCCTGTCGTCACTTTCCAATGCAAGGGGGGGCCCTTTAGCGTTGAGTTTCAACTATCAAGGAGTCCCATTGACTTGCATAGAGCTCCCTGAACGTTGGTAATAGACGAGTTGGGATCGCGGAGAAATGCTCTCCGCAGATCCATTCTCACAGCGTTTATCAACCTTTTTCTAACTCAATATCAAGCCACACTTATTGTGTTTACTTCTTTATTTTAATTGAATAGTTTCGGACTTTTGTTGCTGTCAGTTAGGGGGAGAGTAGGGGCTCAGAAAACTGAAATCTGTATTGTTTCATTGTTTTTTCCTTCTAATTTTGTATTCTTTTCTAAACTACACACTGTTATTTACTCAACAATAAGACACTATTATCCTTGTGTTTGTTTATTGGTTTGATTGTATAATGTCGGACTCGGGTCGGAGCAGCTCATTCGAACACAGGAAGCTGTATTTTCAAAATAAGAGTTCATGTTAGTATTATGTTTGATAATATATGTTTTATCAACTAGACCACTGAGTCTTGTTTAGACCATATTTTCTGTCGGTTTGGTGTTACAAATATAAACACAATATATGTGTGGATAACAAAATACATCCATCATAAACTAAACTGGAAACAGCAGTATATTTTATTGTGTTAACTGTTAACCTGAGTGCTTTAACCGCCTAGTGGTTAAAGCACGTTATTGAATTTTTTTGTTGATACGTTATATTTGATGAAAACATAAAAATATTAAGAGTACATGTTACGAGCTCGGATACACAAGAGACAAAGGACTCAAATGCAAGACCCGGAGAGCCAGAGATAAAGTATTTAGTAATATACTTTATTGCAAAAATAGGATATACAAAAAAGATAAGGCACTTTTAACGAGACGACAAAAAATAGGCTTCACTAAAGCGTAACAAAAAATCACTCACAACGTGAGGAGCAAACTTACAATACGTTTTACAGGAGCATGAATTCAAAAAGAGCAAACGCTGAAGAGCAGAGTTCTGGCATGAGGACAGGACAAGACGAACTGACAAAGAACAAAGGGAAGCTGGGGACTATAAACAAAAGGTAACTGGACACAGGTGGAAACAATCAGAGGCGGGCTGACGCTGATGAGGGCGGGAGACACACACCAGGATAGGAAGTGGGAAACAAGACAGAAAAATGATTAAACAAAACATGAAACATGACTGGACTTAACATTTTTGACGGGACACAACAGTACATCCTTTCATAGGGGGAAAGTAGAAGGTCAATGATAGAAATATAGAATAGAAAATATCAAGAAGATACTGTAAGTGATCTCTACAATAAAACAGTTTAGTGCAGGACGTCCAAAGATATTAATAGGAGGATGTGCAAAACAGACAAACTAATTAGGCTTTATTTAAACATTAAAGAATACTTTAGGTTAAGGTCTTCTTTTGAATAAGAAAAAAGCTTTGGGGGTATCTACAGATAAATATTAAGCCTGACAAAGTACTTAACGTCTAATATATTGCATAATTTGTTTTGGGACTTGACAATCAACTTTCCTGCAATGTTAACTATGTTGAAGCACTTATTTTAACTGATATAATACATATGTATTATACTCGTATAAGATGTATGTAGATAGAATAAGAAATGTGCAGAATATGACAGTTTAATGGTGGAGGTACACACATATTGATAGATGTCTTGTAATGCACTGTTGAGGATGCGACCCAAGTTTTTCATCTCCGACCTTGTCAGGTATTGAACATTCAATAAATAAAGAACACAGAATTATTAAATATAAAACAGAGAATTTGTGTGATTATACTAAATGATTTACAAATAAACACCACTGCATATTTACAACTGTTACACATGCTGCTGTAACGAAAACATTTCTAACTTGGGATCAATAAAGTATATCTTATTTTCAGAGTTGGGTGTAACACGTTACAAAGTAACGCGTTACTGTAATAATATTACTTTTGTCGGTAACGAAGTAGTGTAACGCGTTACTTTTATAATTCAGTAATCACACTACAGTTACTAACATTGCCCCGACACGCGTTACTTTGTTACTTTTATAAAATCAGTCATAATCACACTGACATACAAGAGGGATTTCCGCCGCAGGTTTATATCTACGTAATCTGCGCGACTTGCGCGTCCACATATCCACGTGCAGTGCTGCATAAACATGGCTGAGTCAGCGATAACTTTCGAGGGGTGGAGGTATGCCCATTATTTTGAGTTCGTCCGAAGAATAGACAGGAATGTGACGGTGAGGTGCAAACTGTGTCCAGGCCAGAAGCTGTTATCCACTGCTGTAAACACCACGTCAAACCTCAACAAACACCTGCAAAGAACACATGCTAAGGTGAAGCTAATAGCTAAGGACCCCCGAACCCAGAGTGAGGATGTTGTGAGTGCGCCGCCGCCGACTCCGAAGCAAAAATGACCGGTAACCAAAGCAGAGATGGACAGGCTTGTAGCATCCTTCATAGTAGAGGTAATGTTGCCCATTTGCACAGTGGAATCACCATCGCATCGTTCAGAGATATACTGCGCAAAATACAGATAGCAGGAGACAGAGGATAGCCATGGTCAGAGCTATCTGGATCAGTCTTATGCGACAACGGAAACTGAACTAAAGAGAACATTTGAAACTTTAGCAGTCTGCGTGATCTGCCTGTAGGGAGGGGCGGGCCGGCCCTGCGAGTAAAGTAACGAGTAAAGTAACGAGTTACTTTATGTAGAGAGTAACGAAGTAGTGTAATATATTACTTTTTTTTTTAAGTAATATGTAATATGTAATATATTACTTTTTTTTAGTAACGACCCCATCTCTGCTTATTTTAAGATGATCGATGGCTACTGCCATATTTGCAAAATGTGCCTCTGAACCTTGACAAGTGCATGTTTCAGGCTTATCAATTAGGGTCACAGACATAAGACCAGATGTTACATTTCATTTCATTTCAAGCCTTTATTTATCCAGGTGTATCCCTTGAGATCATTGATCTCTTTTTCAAGGGAGACCTGCTCAAGTAGGTTCCACATGAAACATAAAAACATAAAACAACAGAACAACAAAAAGGACATCATGCAGCATCATTACAGGGATTACAATTGACATAAAGCTCTTCTGACCTTAGCTGTCATGTGGGTATATATTAATGCTGCCCATTATGGACACAAGCAATTTTCACCCATTTATTAATTATATGTTTTAAATTTGAGTGTTTCCTATCTCCTAAACCTCCAGGGTGTACACAGTTTAATACTGGCTACTTCTTATTATGGGAAATACGAAAACGTCTTTTAAAACTACAATTCCCAGCAGAGACGTGCCATAGAACATGTTGCGAAACACACAATAGCCAGCATGTGTAGTTCTGGGGACGGGGTGGGGGAGGGGGGTGGTGGACCCATTCGAATCCAGTTTTGGATAGTCTGCCGTGGTTTCATCCCATTTCAAAGTGCTGTTTGACGCTTGGCGTAACCCTCGGCGCACTGCCACTCAAACATCCAATCACTGAGCTTGAGGACTAATCATGGGGTTTGTCCTTATTATACATCCATAGGTTTGTCAAGCGAAGCGGAGAGAATACTTACTTCCGGGTGTAAAATTCTCTAAAGCAACTACTATGAGCTGCTCCGACCCTCAGTCCTGACGGACTCCAACTTGTGTTTATTAATCAAACAACTAAACAAACACAAGGATAATTGTGTCTTATTGTTGAGTAAATAACAGTGTGTAGTTTAGAAAAGAATACAAAATTAGAAGGAAAAAACAATGAAACAATACAGATTTCAGTTTTCTGAGCCCTACTCTCCCCCTAACTGACGGCAACAAAAGTCCGAAACTATTCAATTAAAATAAAGAAGTAAACACAATAAGTGTGGCTTGATATTGAGTTAGAAAAAGGTTGATAAACGCTGTGAGAATGGATCTGCGGAGAGCATTTCTCCGCGATCCCAACTCGTCTATTACCAACGTTCAGGGAGCTCTATGCAAGTCAATGGGACTCCTTGATAGTTTAAACTCGACGCTAAAGGGCCCCCCCTTGCGTTGGAAAGTGACGACAGGGACCCTGACATAACGTCAACATAGGCCGAGATGGGAGTGAGAATGTGTTGATCACAACAGCTGCAGCTCCTCTATTTTATGTTATATTTACATGTATAGAGACTTCTTGCACTATTTTTTATTTTTGTATTTTATTATATATGTTGCATTGTTGGAGGAGCTCAGGTCAGAAGAATTTCATTGCCAATTCTACACTGTAGCTTATGTGCATATGATAATTAAACCTTTGAATCTTTGAATCTTACCTGAGCAGGTGAGGCTAACAGCTCTGCCAGGTGAGCAGGTGTTTCTCTCTGAGGCTGAGCTACAGTCCAGGAGAGCAGACTCATGGCCTCCACACTGGAACTCTTTGGTCCACATTGGAGCCTCCCCTTCTCCATAGAGCGCCCCCTGGAGGACTGAAGGAGCCCCACAGCCCAGCTGCCTGCAGACCACCTGAGCATCCTGCTGGTCAAAGTCAGCCTCACACACTGAGGACCATGGGTTAGACTGGTTAGACTGGTTAGACTTCACCTCCAGTCTACCTGAGCACGGACTGGTCCCCCCCAGCAGCCTGACAGAGTCTGGAGAGGACAGAAGATACAAATGAGGTAAAGAAACAGTTACTTTTTTACTTTATTGTATTTTATACTTTATCTTTTACTTCTATTTTCTTACTTGTTATTTATTTAAAAATCAAAATTTGGGAAGGTGTCAAATGTTGAGAAATAATTCAAATGTGGAGAAAAAAATTAAAATTTGGAGGACAAATCAAAATTCGATGAAAAGTGAAATTGTGAGAAAAAGTCAAACATTTTAGGAAAAGTTCAGAGAAAAAAAATCAAAGGAGCTTACCTGAACAGGTGAGAGTCAGAAAGTGGGAAGAGGAACCTGATAATGCACACTGCCTCAGAGCAGATCCAGACTGAGCACAGGCAGGACTGATCCACCACAAAGGTCTAAATGAGGACTCCTCTCTCCATCCCACAGAAACAGCAGAGCCACAGTCGAGATATCTGCAGAGAACACCTGCTGCCTTCAGGGTCCAGAGAGAGGAATAGCCCCCCACTGGTCTCCATTCTCCCTGATGTTTCACCTCCAGGTCTCCTGCACAGCGACTCTCTCCTCCCACCAGTCTGACCGGCTCTGAAGAGAAACAAGAGAGAGATCAGAGAGAGAATAAAGTGAGTTTGATGAGAACAGAATGAACCAATCACAGCTCCTCTCTACCTGAGCAGACGAGGCTAACAGCTCTGCCAGGTGAGCAGGTGTTTCTCTCTGAGGCTGAGCTACAGTCCAGGAATAAAAAAGGACTGAGAAAAAACTCAAATTTGAGAAAATAAGTCAAATTTTGAGAAATAAATCTATTTTCTCGAAAAAAGTCAAAATTTCGAGGAACAGTCAAATTCTGAGAAAGAGTCAAAGGAGCTTACCTGAACAGGTAAGAGTCAGGAAGTAGGAAGAGTAACTTGCTGTTGCACACTCCCTCAGAGCAGATCCAGACTGAACACATTCAGGTCTGATCCTCCACGCAGAGCTCTCTGAGGACTCCTCTCTCTCTCCCACAGAAACAGCAGAGCCACAGTCGAGCTCTCTGCAGAGAACACCTGCTGCCTCCAGGGTCCAGGTAGGAATACCATCCACTGGTCTCCATTCTCCCTGAAGCTTCAGCTCCAGAGCTCCTGTACAGTGACTCTCTCCTCCCACCAGTCTGACCGGCTCTGAAGAGAAACAAGAGAGTCATCAGAGAGAGAATAAAGTGGGTTTGTTGAAATGAACCAATTACAGATGTTGGGGTAATATTTTCCTCGGCCCATAACTCTGACCCAGTTTATCAGTTTGTACTGCCCTCGCTGAGCACAGGCCTGCTACCCTGGGCTGCTCTCAGTGTTTTGTCTCCCTGTTCCTGCCTGTTGGCTTCAGCTGATAGGTGCTATAGTGCTCCTCCTGTTTGATCTTGTTATGCACAATGTTGATTATTCTCTCAGAACTAGCTGAATACAGGGCTCTGGGGTAGAGATCTTCAGAATTGGTTTGGCAGAAGCTGTGTCACCTCGTGGCGGGAGCACGTCTTGTCAAATTCTCCGGCCGTAACTCCATAATAAACCCTCAGTGTTTGCCATCAGAGTTCCAGCTCTCCCCGTGTCTCTCTGAGCTTTGTCTCCATTGCTTCAGAAGTTTCCGTCATTACATTACATTACATTGCATTTAGCTGACGCTTTTATCCAAAGCGACTTACAATAAGTGCATTCGACCAGGAAGATACAAACTTGAAGAAAACAGAACCATATAAGTACATCAGGTTTCATAGAGCCAACACATTTCAAGTGCTGCTCAAGTGGCTTTAGATAAGCCAGTCCTTTATTAGTATATAAGAGCTTTGTTAGAAATTCTTTGTTAGTAATTCTATCGCTCGAAGTGGAGTCGAAAGAGATGAGTTTTCAGTCTGCGCCGGAAGATGTGTAGGCTATCTGCTGTCCTGATGTCAATGGGGAGCTCATTCCACCATTTTGGAGCCAGGATAGCAAACCGACGTGTTTTTGCTGATGGGAACTTGGGTCCCCCTCGCAGTGAAGGTGCAGCGAGCCGTTTGGCCGATGCAGAGCGGAGTGCACGTGCTGGGGTGTATGGTTTAACCATGTCCTGGATGTAGGAGGGGCCAGATCCATTCGCAGCATGGTACGCAAGTACCAGTGTCTTGAAGTGGATTCTAGCAGTTACTGGAAGCCAGTGAAGTGAGCGGAGGAGCGGCGTGGTGTGGGAACATTTAGGAAGGTTGAAGACCAGACGAGCCGCTGCATTCTGGATGAGCTGCAGAGGTCGGATGGCACATGCAGACAGACTAGCCAGGAGGGAGTTGCAGCAGTCTAGGCGTGAGATGACGAGAGCCTGGACCAGAAGTTGCGTCGCTTTCTGGGTCAGGAGGGGACGTATCCTTCTGATGTTGTAAAGAGTGTATCCGCAGCAGCGGGTTGTAGCAGCGATGTTTGCAGTGAAGGACAGGTTGTTATCTAGGGTCACACCCAGATTCCTTGCAGTCTGAATCGGGGAAACAACAGAGGTGCCGATGTTGATTTTTAGGTCAAGAGTGGGACAATCTTTTCCCGGAAGGAAAAGCAGTTCAGTCTTGTCAAGGTTGAGCTTGAGGTGGTGAGCAGACATCCACTGAGAGATGTCAGCTAGACAAGCAGAGATGCGTGCGACGACCTGGGTCTCTGAGCGGGGAAAGGACAGAATTAATTGGGTGTCGTCAGCGTAGCAGTGGTATGAAAAACCATGCGGGCTAATGACAGATCCGAGCGAGTTTGTGTACAAGGAGAAGAGGAGGGGACCAAGAACAGAGCCCTGTGGGACCCCTGTAGTTAATCGACAAGGGTCGGACTCTGACCCTCTCCAAGTTACCCTGTAGGTGCGGTCTTTGAGGTATGAGGTGAGGAGGGAAAGTGCAGAGCCTGAAACTCCAAGTTCTTGGAGAGTGCGAAGGAGGATCTGATGGTTCACCGTGTCGAATGCAGCAGACAGGTCCAAAAGGATGATGACAGAGGAGAGGGAGGCTGCTTTAGCAGTGTGCAGTTCCTCAGAGACAGCAAGGAGAGCAGTTTCTGTTGAGTGACCTGCCTTGAAACCAGACTGGTGCGGATCAAGAAGGTTGTTCTGATGGAGATAACAGGAGAGTTGTTTAAAGACAGTGCGTTCAAGTGTTTTAGACAGGAACGGGAGGAGAGAGACAGGCCTGTAGTTTATAACATCAGACGGGTTGAGAGTGGGTTTCTTTAGGAGAGGGGTTACTCTTGCCTCCTTGAGAGTGTTTGGAAAGTGACCAGAAGTTAGAGAAGTGTTGATGAAATGGGTGAGAAACGGTAGAATATCAGGAGCGATAGTCTGAAGGAGGTTTGAGGGGATAGGGTCCAGAGGACAGGTGGTAGGACAGGCAGAGGTAATGAGGGTAAGAACCTCACTTGGAGAGAGAGGGGGAAAGGAGGTTAGTGTGTGGGTGAAGGGTGGGTCTGGTGACCCAGCTGTGAGTAAAGGTGAGTCAGAAAAAGATGAACGAATATCATCAACCTTTTTTTCAAAGTAGTTAACAAAGTCGCTTGACAGAAGGGAGGAGGGGGAAGGGGCTTTGGGGGGTTCTAAGAGAGTGGAAAAGATGAAAAATAGTTTTTGGGGATTGGAATAGGAAGAATGGATCTTATCTTGAAAGAAAGTGCTTTTTGCCTGAGAGATGGAAGCAGAGAAAGAGGAGAGGAGAGATAGGTTAGGAGGCCGTCAGGGTGTTTGGATTTCCACCGTTTCTGCTCTGCTGCCTGAAGGATGGTTCTATTAGCACGCAGTGCGTCATTTAGCCAGGGAGCAGGAGGGGGCTGACGAGCCCGCCGAGATGTGAGAGGACAGAGAGAGTCCAGAGAGGATGAAAGAGTCGAGAGGAGAGTTTCTGCAGCAGAGTTTGGAGGCAGGAGTTGGAACGAGTCAGAGGAAGGGAGGGCTGAGAGCACCGATGAGGCAAAGGTAGAGGGGGAGAGGGAACAAAGGTTACGACGGACAGGTGCAGGATGAGAAGAGATTAGTTTGTTATGTTTGGAAAGGGGTAGAGAGAATGATATGAAAAAGCCATCCGAGGTGTGAAGTGGGTTTACAGAGAGGTTAGAAGTAGTGCAGTTCCTTGAGAATATGAGATCAAGGACATTGCCAGCTTTATGAGTTGGTGGGGATGGAGACAGTGGGAAAGCAAAGGCGGAGGTTGAAGTCTCCGAGAAGTACAGCGGGAGGGCCAGTTTCAGGGATGTGTGAGAGGAGATGATCTAATTCCTCCAAGAAGTCTCCCAAGGCGCCTGGTGGACGGTAGAGAACAACAATGGTTAATTGTATAGGATGGGTCACAGTAACGGCATGGAATTCAAAGGTGGAAGGAGTGAAGTTAGGTAGCTTGAAGAGGGAAAAGCTCCATTTGGGAGAGAGCAGGAGACCAGTGACACCTCCTCTGCCAGTGGGTCTAGTTGTACAGATGGAGCATCTTATTTCAGACTCCAGCTTACTGCTTCCTGCCTACTACCTGCCAGTTACCTGCCTAAGACCTGCCAAAGACCAGTATCTGGGAATGTTAAGCCCTCCCACTATTTTCCAAGAGGGCGTTGCCAGATTTTCAATTTCAGGATTTAACCAGGAGATGGCGCTTCCTTCACAGAAACAGGAAGACAGCTTTTCATGGACTTTCAGTTTTGTTTAGAAGAGCATTTGAACACATCAATATTTTAGATCAAATAAAGTATATCTAATCTTGTAATTCAATAATATATAGTCTTTATATATTAAATAACTATGGCCAAACTAAGACTTAGTTTTTCACAAGAGAAAATGCAGATATTATATAAAAAACTAAAGTTAAAATCTTGTTTTTAATGCCCCAAGAGCAATAAAAACACTTGGTAAAAAAATCCTGAGTGAGGCTTTCATAAATTGCATTTAGCTGACGCTTTTATCCAAAACGACTTACTATTTAATAAATTATAAATGATTATTCATAAAAAAATATGAGTGATGTGTGATTATTATTCATGCTATATACTGATATAGGGCTAAGTAAGCAATCAATCCTGCAAATTAACCCTTAGTTGTTCAATATATTTATTCAGACAATGTGAGTAGAAATACAGAAATTCTGCTCCCTCCCACCTAAGGCCAACGTTGCAATATTACAACATTTCCCTAAAAACGTACCAAAACGTAAACATTTTTAAAAGTCTTTCATTTCTCCTCCAGAGGCCAGGGGTTAAATTGGGATTTGATATGTGGGGGGGCTCTGTTAGAAGGTGGGGGGGGGGGGGGGGGGTGTTGTCGGCCGTAAGCGAACCGGGCCGTTGGCGTCGGGACTTTCTGTGATTCTCCAGAACTCACAGCTGGCCAGGGATAAGTCCCGACTCTCCCGACGGCCAATCCGTGCCTCCCCTGACTGCACGTTGCTGACACACACCGCTGCAAACTCTCTGCACGGAGGAGCCGCGGTCACAGTGATCTGCTATTTTAAAGTCAATTCAACACATATCGACCCTAAATATAGCATATATTAAGAACGAGAAAGTGTTAACATCGTTTTTTGTAAACATATGACAAATGTGCGAGGGTGATGACATCAGAGCATCGTCCTATGGGCTTAGACAGGTACAACAGGTATTCACTCAGAGGGGGGTAGGTACTAAATGCCACCCATTTACATGTAGGCAAACAAAGTCAAAGATCAACATACAGTAAGGGGGTGGGGGATGGTGAACGGTATGTGGGTATGTGGGACACTGAAAAGTCTATGTTAAAAAGCCTCAGTCACCTTAATTCATGTAATAAAAACATCTCAGGTCAGTAACACTGAAAGCTAAATGTGCAATACCATGTTCAGCTATGTTACTATTTATAATGTTATTGTTGTTACAACAGAAGATGTTTTTCTTTATATTGAAGTTAAATGCATCAATCTGGTGCACTTTGAGGTCAAAATTAAGAGATTTATGGATACCGCTGGAAAAAGCTGCAGTACATATGCCGAGCCTGTACGTAGCGCTGTAACTTCCTCCACAAAAGCAGCCTTCTGTTTATTCAACGTGGTGGGGGCCGAGGGAACCGGGCAGAGTTTTTCGCCGGTCAACGTGTGTGAAAGTTTAAATCTTCCTTATTGAGCTTTAAAACAAATGAATAACGACTATATATAATAATAAAATAAACACCTGCTGTTGTTATGCCTGCTGTAACGTTAAATTACTCCGTTCTCCGCTTAAGTAATTATGCCGTTACAAGCTTCATAGTTGTATTTATCATCTAAATTTGCCGAAACAAGTTTAATATTCTGAAAGCCAAGACTTTGTTTATTTGAAATCAGATGAAAACAAACTGTAACGGGCCTTGCCGTGTTATCTATGATTATAAAGCATTAAATGAAAAGTCATGAAAGAGATAAGGAGGAGAAAAGGTTTAAGGAAGTAAGCAATGAATACAGAATGTCGAAATCCTCTGTTTCACGCGATGTCGAACATTGAAGACAGAGGACGGCGGTCCCCCAATCTACACAGCGGGAGAAAGACAACTATTTTTTAAATCAATAAAATCATTTTCTAAATCCATAAAAGCATTTCAATTAAGATTGGGAGTCATGTCGTAACTTTGTTGAGAATGTGGCCATGTAATAAACGAGATAATTTGCTGCGACTTGGTTATTGTGGGGAAAAATAACACCCAGGGATCCTGATCGTTTCAATTAAGTTGAATACAGAATATTCATATTTGTCAGTGATTTCATGTCAATTCGGCGAACATAAACATAAATGATCGTGGTGAAGATGATGACTAAATTAGGATAAAAAATCGGGAGAGCCGGCTGCATTTCCTCTCGTTCGTTTTTTTCGACTAAACAACATTATTTTGTTAAATAACAACATGGTGATGTTTTGTAAATGATTACATGCCTTATTTAGCACAGACTATGATCCTATCCGTGACATATGGATCTTAACAAAGATCCGCTATACATTAGTACCAGACATACTGTACATCCAGCTTACTGTATCGAAGTTGATTTCACATGAGCTCCAGTGTGGAACCCCACTGCACCCCCTGGTGGATCAATGATCCATTGCAGCTGGCTTCACAATAATTAAATTAATTTATCACGGGGGCGGTATCAAGTCAGACTGGGGGCCGGCTCTTCATCACGAACCGATCACGGGCCGATCACGGACCAATCACGACCCAATCACGACCCAATCACGACCCTCGCGTTTCAAACTGTCTGAAATAAGATGCTCCATCTGTATGGGTGAAGGAATATGCTGTGGAGAGAGCTGCTGGGGTGGATGTGTTGGATTGAGTAATCCAGGTCTCAGTGAGAGCAAGGAAATCCAGAGACTGCAGGGAAGCGTAGCCAGAGATGAAGTCAGCCTTAGGAACAGCTGACTGGCAGTACCACAGGCCACCTGAAACTCGATGTTGGATCTCAGTGGAGCAGGTGGGATAGATGAGAGCAGGCTGGTTATATCGATTAGGAGATACACGGGGCCAGTGATAACTGCGAGTAGACACATGAACAGGAATGGAGAAAATACACATGATTGTAGCATGAGGGGCTAAAAAACAAAATAAAATAAAACACCAGCGATACTTAGCTCAATCAAAGTAGGATTTGCCTCCTCTTTGCCTCCCTCGTGATTCCCGCAGGACTCCAATGTATTTGTCAGTCTTCGTCTGTCTGACGCTGAAGCTGACGCTCCAGGAAATAGCTGGCTAAAATAGGCAGCTCCTCTATTTTATATTATATTTACATGTATAGAGACTTCTTGCAGATAGATTGTATATAGACTTCTTGCACTATTTTTTATTTGTGTATTTTATTATACAATTTGCATTGTTGGAGGAGCTCAGGTCAGGAGAATGTCATTGCCATTTCTACTCTGTAGCTTATGTGCATATGATAATAAAACCTTTGAATCTTTGAATCTTCTACCTGAGCAGGTGAGGCTAACAGCTGTGCCAGGTGAGCAGGTGTTTCTCTCTGAGGCTGAGCTACAGTCCAGGAGAGCAGACTCATGGCCTCCACACTGGAACTCTTTGGTCCACATTGGAGCCTCCCCTTCTCCATAGAGCGCCCCCTGAAGGACTGAAGGAGCCCCACAGCCCAGCTGCCTGCAGACCACCTGAGCATCCTGCTGGTCAAAGTCAGCCTCACACACTGAGGACCAGGACGGGTCAGAGTTCACCTCCAGTCTACCTGAGCACAGACTGGTCCCATTCACCAGCCTGACAGAGTCTGCAGAGGACAGAAGATAAAACTGAGGTAAAGAAACAATTACTGTTTTAATTGTTATTGTATTCTTTATATTTTATTTCAATTTTCTTATTTGTTATTCATTTAAAAATCTAAGAAAAAAGTCAAAAACACTGAAAAAAAGTAAAATGTTGAGAAATAAGTAAAAATTGAGTTAACCTGTTAAGCCCTGAGCCTGTTTTTCAGGTCTCAGGCTCGAAAATGACATTCCCAGAACAAATGACCATATCTTCCCTTCTAAAAGGGTTAAATTAATAATCTTTTTTCTCAAAGTAATGATAAACCTGTGAGTTGGATGTAGAAAAGTCATAATCAATATAGATGTTTTTTATTTTAAAGAAAATTCAGATTGAACATAGTAAAAAACTGTTAATTATAGTGTCTTATAGTGAAAACTACCCTTGGATGATGGGTTAGTAGACTAAAAGCTTTAGGAATCCAAAGTACAACATATAATAAGTACCCTGTATCAAGATTGATGCAAAACAAGTGAAATCTGACCTTTTTAGAGATATTTAGCAAATAAAACCCACTTTTGGGGTCATTTGGGTGGATTTTCCATATCTCTGGCCCCCCTTTGTCGATTTTGACTCAGCACTATCCGTGCTGAGTGTGCTGACTTTTCGTACAATGTCCCACTGTCTGGCTACCTGCATAAAGTCAAGTGCTCGGCGCAGTTGTCCTCTGTTTTCATTGAAACAGCTCCTTATATCCGTTAGCGCAGCTAGCTAGCACCAGATACTAACAACAACAACAACAACACGTAAGGTGTGCCTCGCTCGCGCCACACATACATACACCCTCCCGGTTCTCCCGATGGCCAGTCCGGGCCTGTCGGTGAGCGTGGAAGTGTGGTCTGCCACAAGCGGGCGGCAGGTGCGGGGCTGTCAGCATCAGCTTGTAGATGGTATTTTAAACTCGATGCGCTCTGAAACTACGGGGCGGCCGAGGACAAAAAATACACATGCGTTAATCGCGTTAAAATAATTAGTGGCGTTAATTTTTTTTTGCGTTAACGCGTTAACTTGACAGCCCTAATAAATACATGAAAAACAGACAGGACATGAAACGAATGTAAAACACGAGACAATGAAACCAGATCAGAAGCCACAGACTGAAAAACTCTCCTACATGACGTAAAAACAATACAAAACACTAGTAAGATAAAAACCCAAATTTAAAAGCACAAGTGTCACCTGGCCTGTAAATGCCAGGGAAAAGAAGTGGGTTTTTAAACGAGATTTAAAAACAGGCAGAGTTGGAGCAAGTCTAACCTGGAGGGGTAATTCGTTCCATAACTTTGGAGCTGCAACAGCAAAGGCTCTGTCTCCTCGCTGCTTTGAAATCATTTCAGAGGGACACAGACACATTGGATTAACCTATGGATTAACTTCAGCAGCGTTTTTATCGTTTTAATGCCATTGAAGACCACTTTTGACCAGACTACGACACAGGTAAGCCATGTTAGCATTTTTAGCTACCTAGCGCCACATGTTTTGATGTCTGTTTTTGTTTATAAAGTCGCGAGTTCGTATCATAGAGTGATAATGTATGTACCCATCGATTTTGTGTCACCTCACGATCAGATCGATGGGTTGGATGTGCAGAAAGGATAAATAATAAGGTTTTATGAGTGAGTTTTGGTGCAGTAAATCTGTTAGTATTTTTCGCTCGTTGCTAATTCAGAGGCTCAGCGTTAGCATTCTTTTGAAAAAAAAAAAATGATGAGTTAGATGAGTTTCTTCCCGTTACATGGATATAAAACATTCATAGTTTATTAACCTGTTACGCACGGCCCCCCCCGGTACCGGGCGGATAAACGCATCATTTGCAGGAAACAACGTCTAAGGAATCTTAATATTTAATAAACTATGAATGTTTTATATTCATGTAACGGGAAGAAACTCAGCTAACTGATCTTTTTTTTTTTTTTTTTTTTTAAAAACCCACAATGCTAACACTCAGCCTCTGAATTAGCCACGAGCGAAAAAATGTAACCTATCTCTGCACCTAAACTCACTCTAACTCCCTTATTACTTATCCTAGATGCACAGCAGCGACGTGCAGTCAGGGGAGGCAGTCAGGCAGAGCCTCACCTGTCATACTCCAATGTAACGGAAAAACAACAAAAGAAAAACTAAATAGTAATAATAATAAAATGTCTCCACTGATCTGTGTTGTAAGTGTGATTTATGTATGAATCCAATCGCTTTTTATAGTCAAAATCAGCAAATTTGCCGAGCTCTGCTACGGGAGCGATGAGAAGTGAGGCAGGGACGTGCTCTGCCTCTCGTAAGCCCACAGTAACTTGCTGGAGCACGGGCACTAATTTAGCGCGGGCACTTATTTTGTGAGCGCGCTCAAGCCAGTTACTGTGGGGTAAGGTGAGGCACAGATGAGCTCTGCCTCACCTCAGAATGCGTCACCCCACAGAAACTGGCTGGAAAGTGGGCCCTAAGCGCATGCCTGTTCCCATCTCACTGTAGGTCACATATGTAATGTTTGTAGATCCCTTTATTACATTTATCCTCGCCATCCATAGTCTCTAAATAACTTATTTCACGTATATATGATATTTAGGCTCGCTGGTCTCATCATATAACGGCAAAAAAGCACCAGGGGAGGCAGCCATAACCTCTGCCGCACTGAAGGGGGCGCACGTGAGCCCACAGGTTCTTGTTGCTACTGTTATTCTACGCAGAGGCGGTAGACGTAACAACAAACTAGACTTTTGAAACTACAGGAAGATAAGGAGGACTTTTACAAAAAAGTAATAGAGATTGTTGTCCAGAAGGATAGCATGGACTTCATCTTCAAGTCAAGGTAAGACCACATTTGTAATGAAAATGGGATCTTACTAAGAAAGAACAATCCAATATTTAGATTTTGGGTATCCTTTTGTTGAACGGTCTGTTTAAAATGAATCGAAGCATCAGACTAAAAAAGCTTTTGAAAATAACCGAATATTTCGATTAAGGTCAAAATATAATATTTGTAAATCTGAGTCAGTGAGTCAGTGCCTCACCAGCCATGAACCTCACCGCACGTCACTGATGCACAGCCAACCTCTCGTTTTGCATCAGCTGGAGACACAGAATCTGGGGGTGCCCACCTCAACACTCAGTGATAAACATTTGCGACGCTATAAACGAAAGCGTACATCATAACATGTGGAGCTAGGTAGCTAGAAACGCTAACATGGCTTACCTTGGTCAAAACTGGTCTTCAATGGCATTAAAAAGATAAAAAAACGATGCTGCAGTTAATCCATAGGTTCATCCAATGTGTCTGTGTCCTCTTTGAAATGATTTCTGATAATCCATAAGCAATAAAACTGCTTTTTCGTTTCCAAATGCCAGAGCTAGAGATAGGTCCATCTGCTGCAAATTTACATGCGCGCAGCCCCCACCTTTTCTCTTCACAATGTGTGTGTGTGGGGGCCTCCCCCTTTGATTATATTGGCTCTAACGGTCAAAAAGAGGTGTCAACCATCCAAATCGACCAAGGGGGGCCAGAGATATGGAAAAAAAAACATTTTCACCCAAATCACCTCAGAGGTGGGGTGGTTTTGGCTAAACCTCTCTAAAAAGGTCAAATGTCACTTGTTTTGCATCGATCTTGATACAGGGTACTTATTATATGTTGTACTTTCGATTCCTAAAGCTTTTAGTCTACTAACCCATCATCCAAGGGTAGTTTTCACTATCTGTAAAAAATAATTTTTGGACGGACACTATAATTTACAGTTTTTTACTATGTAAAATCTGAATTTTCTTTAAAATAAAAAACATCTATATTGATTCTGACACTTCTAAATCCAACTCACAGATGTAACCTTGCTTTGATAAAAGAAATTATTCATATAACCCTTTTAGAAGTTAAGTTGTAGTCATTTGTTTTGGGCATGTCATTTTCGAGCCTGAAACATGAAAAACAGGCTTGGTGCTTAACAGGTTAAATGAACATGCCCTCAGACACTGTTTCCTGCAAGATGTTGTGGGAGGGCCCCGGTACCGGGGTCTCTCGGGCTTAACAGGTTAAAGCAGCTTACCTGAACAGGCAAGAGTCAGGATGTCGTTAGAGGAACTTGATACTGCACATTCCCTCAGATCAGATCCAGACTGAACACATTCAGACAGGATCCACCACACAGATCTCTGTGAGGACTCCTTTCTCTCTCCCACAGAAACAGCAGAGCCACAGCCCAGATCTCTGCAGAGAACACCTGCTGTCTTCAGGGTCCTGAGAGAGTTAGAGCCCCCCACTGGTCTCCATTCTCCCTGATGTTCCACCTCCAGGTCTCCTGCACAGCGACTCTCTCCTCCCACCAGTCTGACCTCATCAGGCTCTGAAGAGAAACAAGAGAGTGATCAGAGAGAGAATAAAGTGAGTTTGATGAAATTAACCAATCACAGCTGCAGCTCCTCTATTTTATATTCTACTGTATGTACATGTATATCAAATTCAAATTGAGCTACAGTGTAGAAAAGTCAATGAAATTAATCTGATCTGAGCTCCTCCAACAATACAACATATATAACAAAATACAAATGTCAAATGTTGAGACAAAGTCAAATTCGGAGAAAGACATAAAATAAAAAAGGGTATATTTTGAGGAAGAAAATCAAATTCAAAAAGTTTTATTTCTATTTTCTTATTTGTATTTTTTTTTGTATTATTTACTTTTATTTATTGTATTATTTCTTTCCAACATTGTCATAAATTACCCCTGATTCTGATTGTTCTACATGTCTCCTTATTAAACAAGCATCTCTAACATGTGTGTGTGTTCGTGTGTATGTGTGTGTGTTGGAGTAATAATCACTTTCCACTTTGTCAGACTTGGAGCTGAATGTGTGTGTGATGTGTTTTAAAATTGGTGTCAGAGAGAGAGAGAGAGAGAGAGAGAGAGAGAGAGAGAGAGAGAGAGAGAGAGAGAGAGAGAGAGAGAGAGAGAGAGAGAGAGAGAGAGAGAGAGAGAGAGAGAGAGAGAGAGAGAGAGAGAGAGAGAGGTGATGATGTAATGTTTTGGATGGCTGCAGGATGGACTCACCTTGAGCGAGACTGAGCGAGCAGAGCAGGAGGAGAGGAATCATCTCAACAACCTGCACAGAAACAGAGAAGAAGAAGTGATATCGTTTATAAAAGGAGAAATATATCAACTCCTGATCGGTGTTGTGCAAACACAGGAAGAGAATTAAGTACTTTGACCGAATTCTGATATTCAAGCAAAACTTTAAAAGGTCAACTATTATGCAAAATCCACTTATTCATGTCTTTTCTACTTAAACATGTGTCCTTCTGTGTTAAGAGATTCTGAAAGTGTCAGGAACAAAAAACCCCTCTCTTTCTGTCCTGATCCATCTTTATAAAAACCTATCTGAAAATCAGCTGATCAGATGTTGGTCACAACTGACTGAAAGCACAAAAATTGAAATATTTGATACAATAAGTCAAAGGACAGACATAAGGGAAGCAGAGAATAAATGATAATTGACAAAAGACTAATTTAAAATATACATTTTCAACATATCTGCTCATTAAATTCCTCGTTGTAGTTATTAAAGCTTTACATCTGAGTAATTATCTCATTGTGATCGTTTGTCAGTGCTGTATTTTTTTGCATTTATGTAGATATGTTATACTCAGCCTGTCAGGGTTGGGAAAAATAGGACCCAAGTGCAGTTGAAAATAAAATTAAAAGGTCTGGTAACAAAGCGAAATTTATTTAAAAAAGCCGACGACAGGAAAAACAAGAAACTACTTAACATAAACAAAACCGGGGAGCATGACAGACAGGAACAAACTTACAGACGGGAACAGGCAGGTGACATGGACAGGAAGACAGGCAGGTATCATGGACATGAAGACGGGCAGGTATCATGGACATGAAAGACGACGATCAGACAAGGAGCCGAGGGCAAGACAAGACTAAATACACAGAAGGGTAATGACAGGACAAGACACAGCTGGGCAGGGGAGGAAGAAACACAAGGGCAACAGGGTGGACGGCCCGGGGACACGGCAGAAGGGCGGCAAAGTCCACGGCAGGGAAACTCAGGGGGCCGGGCACGAGGGCAAATGCAGCGGCTGGGAAAGTCAGGGGGTCGGAGACAGGGGCGAAGGCTGCGGCGGAGAATCTCAGGGGGCCGGGCAAGAAGGCGGCGACGGGACAGCTCCGGGGGACGGGAAGGAAGGTGGCGACGGGACAGCTCCGGAGGACGGGCAGGACAGCTCCGGAGGATGACGTACGCCACGATGGGACCCCTCCAGTGCCAGCAGGATCGCCGGAGCAGGAGTACTGCATCGGGAGTAGGAGCTGGTGGGACCCCCGGCAGGACAGGAACCGGTGTCGGCCGGACAGGAACCGGAGCCGCCGGGACAGGTGTAGACAGGACCCCAGACGGAACAAGCACTGGTGTCGACGGGACCCCCGACGAAACAGGACACGGTGTTGGCAGGACCCCAGGTGGAAAAGGTGTCGGCGGGACCTCCAACAGGACAGGACACTGAGTTTGCAGGACCCCCAGCGGAACCCCCAACGGAACAGGACATGGAGTTGGCAGGACCCCCGGCGGAACAGGTGTTGGCGGGACCCCCAATGGAACAGGACAAGAAGTTGTCAGGACCCCCGGCGAGACGGGTGTCTGCAGGACCCCCAACGGAACAGGACATGGGGTTGGCAGGACCCCCGGCAGAACAGTAGTCTGCGGGACCCCCAACGGGACAGGACATGGTGTTGGCAGGACCCACAGCAGAACCCCCAACGGAACAAGACATAGAGTTGGCAGGACCCCCGGCGGAATAGATGTTGGCAGGACCCCCAACGGGACAGGACATGGTGTTGGCAGGACCCCCGGCGGAATAGGTGTTGGCGGGACCCCCACCGGGACAGGACATGGTGTTGGCAGGACCCCCGACGGAGAAGTGACTTGAGTCAGCGGGGCCGCTGCCTGGAAACGGGGGGCCGGAGTGGGCCGGAACGCCAACAGGACACGGAGAGCTGGAGTGGGCCGGAACCATGACTGTTTGGGCTCGGGCCGGTAGTCTGGCCTTGTGTCTCTTAGACGCCTTTTGGAGGCTCCGTGGACCTTCTGGGGCCAGGCGGGATCCCAGGAAAGGGTTTGAGGCTTGTGGCTGGCACTCAGGGCTGCTTGTAAAAAGTCTTAGCCACTCAGGCAACAAGCTCCTAAGCTAGGGCTTGCTGGCAACCTCCATGCGTGCCTCGTTAAGGGCAGCCTCTTTGGCCCCTCTGGATGAGGCCCTCCTCCAGTCATTGAAAATACACTCCAGAATATATTTAAGCTCATAAAGCTCTTGGCTAAATGAAAAAACAGCTGGGTCCATATTGGTCTGATCGTACTGTCAGGTTTGGGGAAAATAGGACCCAAGTGCAGTCAAAAATACAAAAAAGGTCTGGTAACAAAAAGCGATCTTTATTAAAAAAAGCCGACGACAGGAAAAACAAGAAACTACTTAACATAAACAAAACCAGGGAGCATGACAGACAGGAACAAACCTACATACGGGAACAGGCAGGTGACATGGACAAGGAAGACGGGAAGGTATCATGGACAAGCATAGACGAGGCAGCGAACATGGACAAGAAAGATGGCGATCAGACAAGGAGCACAGGGGAAGACAAGACTAAATACACAGAAGGGTAATCACAGAACAAGACACAGCTGGGCAGGGGAGGCAGAAACACAAGGGCAACAGGGTGGACGGCCCGGGGACACGTCAGGATTTAATTGGATGTAAGTGGTCCCAAGAGTCACTTTTATCAATGGGAGTCTTATCGTTTAGTTTTATCACTGTGGGTACATTCCTGCCCCCAAAAAAGGTAACACACATGCAGATACAGAAGAAATGAAGCGCAAAAATGTGCAACAAGTAAACTTTTTACACAATTTAAGAGTAATCAATGCACGAATGGGTGAAAGAGACAGGTCCAAAAGTCACATCTTACCTTGTAAAGAGAAAAAAGAAACGAAATCCAGCTGCTCCTGTTGGGTTATCACTTGAAAACTTTTCCGAAAAAAGAGAGAGATCTCCAGACAGAAGTCCCCGATGTTTGAGACTCTCAGCGTGTTTCAGCTGCTCCTCTTCCTCCGCTCTGCAGCAAGTTCAAATCCACCGCAGATCCGATGTGTCCCCGACATAAGAGAGGACACCTCCCCCGAAAATACACCGCCCAGTGCGGGGAGAGAGAGAGAGATAGAGGGGGAGAGAGGGAAGGCCGGAGGAAGTGAGACTGGGGAAAGCCTGAGAGAGAGAGACTTAAAGAGAAAGGGAGGACATTAAAGGGGACCTATCATGCAAAATGCACATTTCACATGTATTTTATACATAAATATGTGTCCCCGGTGTGTCGGGGAACTCACAAAGTGTCAGAAAATAAAACCCTCTCTTTTCCTCCGTGCGCAAATCTCTAAAAACGGGGTCTACAACGGAGCTGAACGTCTCACGTTTCAGTCGACAAGAAAAGTCGTTGCTGTGCCTTTTTCACCAGGTTTGAGGTGTTGGAGGTCCATGTCAGATGGTTCGATATGCTGACTCCAAGGAACTTGAGGTCCTCCACGCTCTCCACTGATTCTCCATGTATGTGGACATACTACATACTGATATACACCTGAACATCAGCAGGAGAGGACTCTTTAAAGTAGAGACACTACATACTGATATACACCTGAACATCAGCAGGAGAGAACTCTTTAAAGTAGAGACACTACATACTGATATACATCTGAACATTAGCAGGAGAGGACTCTTTAAAGTAGAGACACTACATACTGATATACACCTGAACATCAGCAGGAGAGGACTCTTTAAAGTAGAGACACTACATACTGATATACACCTGAACATCAGCAGGAGAGAACTCTTTAAAGTAGAGACACTACATACTGATATACACCTGAACATCAGCAGGAGAGGACTCTTTAAAGTAGAGACACTACATACTGATATACACCTGAACATCAGCAGGAGAGGACTCTTTAAAGTAGAGACACTACATACTGATATACACCTGAACATCAGCAGGAGAGGACTCTTTAAAGTAGAGACACTACATACTGATGTACACCTGAACATCAGCAGGAGAGGACTCTTTAAAGTAGAGACACTACATACTGATATACACCTGAACATCAGCAGGAGAGGACTATTTAAAGTACACACATTACATACATTACAGTGTTGCTCGGATTGGAATGAAAATCGCTGTAACGAGAGATGAAGCAAGCCGGGTGAATAATCCATCGTCACATGCATGTAGCCCCGGGCATCGTGGAGATGTGACCTTGTACATTTCAAACACAGTGTATTTGAAATGTACAAGGTCACAAGCCCTGCATGCTCACGCCTAGGAAGCTGCAATTCTGTGCCTGACATCCCATCCCACTCGTGAATAAGTGTTGTAAATATGAAAGAGATTGCTTGAGGGCAATGTTAACCTCCTCAATGTATGTAGCAATGCACAAGTGTCCCAAGATGGACAATCTGTACACTCCGAATTCAACGGCCATTCAAAATAAAGCACATTTCTTCTTTTTGCTGCGGTTCTAGTCCCTGGCCACCCAGAGACCTCAATTTTGGTACACCCACTCCTCGTGTGGTGTAGAAAGACCACCTGCAATTTGGAAGCTCTCAAGGCCATATAAGCAGAGTTATTGCAGGAAATATTTTTTGGATTGCGCATCTTTCGGCCGCGGTTTCTGCCCCAGAGCAGCTAGGGCCCTCGGATTCAGGGCCGGGACTCACCCCGACGTCCAGTTTGAACGACCAAACGTTTGTAACGCTTGGCCACATTTAAAAAAATCCACTCAATATCCAACTTCAGAAGCCTCTTGCGGACGTCAAGTCTGAGAGGACCGTGAGATTTTTAGGGCATCTCTAGGAAACTTTTGTTTCGGAGGGCCTGCCGCGCTGACGTTTAAATATGTTTGTCGGCACTCGACGACGAGCGATCCTGCGCTGAAAATGAATGGTGATGAAAAATAAGGGTAATCCCATTGTTAAAGGGGACCTATCATGCAAAATGCACTTTTGTACGTCTTTTATACATGAATATGTGTCCCAGGTGTTCCAGGGAACTCACCAAGTGTCAGAAAACACAACCCTCTCTATTTTCCTCCATACCCAAATCTCTAAAAAAGGGGCTGCAACGGATCTGATAAAAACTGATCCAGATTTGAACACCGTCCTGACGTCAGGACGGTGGCGTTACGGCTATTGGGCCAACTCCACCAATCAGGAGGAGACAGCCACGGACATTGCCGTTCGAAAGCGCTGGAGACGCTGTAGTACATATGCCAGGCCTGTAGGTGGTGCTGTTCTCACAGAATCAGCCCTTGCAAAAACAGAGCTAAAAAATTTCAAATTGAGTGAAATCAGGCATGGCTAAAATGCATGATCTGTTTGGTATTTTGGAAAAAAAAAAGTATAAATATGCCTTATATAGGTATGGTCCTACACTATATTATTCAAATATAGCATGATAGGTCCACTTTAACTATTTGAAATGGACAACCTCCCGTGTGAGCCAAATAGCTTGAAATGATTGCTGCATTGGCAAGAATGGACCCTATTTTCCATAGTCCCAGATTTCAGGCTCCCAGCTCCACCCCAAAGCCAACTTCTTCCAGGAGCGTGATAGCTACTCGAAAACACCTGCAACCTGTTTGTGAGGTCTCTGAGGTTACGTCTTGTGATTTTGGAACAACTATCCCTTGAGGAAAATATAAAGTGGCCTTTATTGGTTGCCACGCAACAAATGTCAAATTGTACACCGGCAATACGTCTGCATTGAGCTGTCGGCATACGAGTGCATTTGCCAAAAGAAAACACCAAAAACAAGTCAAATCAAAGCGGGGACCCCGTGGCCTCGGAGTACACATGTCCACAAATAAACCACTTGAAACTGGAGATCGATTGATTGAATCAGTCCGGGAGTCCGCTCGAGGCAAACTTGACATCGACCCCCCCCAAAAGACCCGGCTAAGGCCGCTACCGCCCCCCCCCTCCGTAGAGACAGACCACCTGGCCGACTTTGGGGCCTATTGGGCAACTTGGGAA